CCCCCCCCCACTTTTTCAGGGTCTTTGGAGACAAGGTACTTTTAAGAGAACTCCAGCCTCAACTGCTCCAGCCTCGCTGGACAGGACCATACACTGTAATCCTCACCACCCCCACTGCTGCCAAACTATCAGGACACCCTGCATGGTACCATATTTCCCGACTAAAAAGAGCCCCTCCTCCCAATGAAGTTTGGCAAGCAGAACAAGTTGGACCTCTATGGATCCAACTCCAATGGGGTCCTTGTCCTACTCCTCCTCCTACATAGTGGAGTGGCCTCACCTCCTCCCATCAAGTATCGATTTGAGGCCACCCAAAGATACACCATAGAAAATGGACAGATAGAGGAGACAATCGGGACAGCCTTCTGTGAGGTTAACAATTGTTAGTCCATAATTGCCCTACCTCTTAACCGAGTTTGGTGCCCTGATGGAGAGACACCTACCCACATGGCCCTCTGCTTCACCTTTCAACAAACAGGAAAGTACAAAACACAGTGGATCAAAGAAAATTTTGGGTGCCCCTGGGCCTCCTGTGTCATGAACTGGATGGTAGAAGGCCACCCAGGCGATAGCCACCATATGCTTACTTTTCAATGCTGGGCACCCCGGGCAAAGAGGTATTTAAACATCAAGGACCCCTTACATAATCGCTAGAAAGAGGGCATTACAGGGGGTGTCTACTTAAATAATTTTCAAGCATACCCTGCCTGACCATCACAATTCGCCAATACCTGGAGGTAAGCACCCCAAACATCTTGAAGAAGTACAACAGGCCATTAAAACCCAGGAAACCCACCTACAGTTTCACATACAACAAAACACTAGGACCCTTCCCTTTTCTTGGTTAAGTCTCCTATAGGAAGGGCTGGATTTATTCCAGCACACCCTCCCCAATATTTTCTTGACTCAATGCTTCCTCTGTACTTCCCTTATAGAAGCCCCTGTGGTAGAAGTTCAGGCACTGCCAAGAGAGAACCTATCTTGCCCTCCAGGCCCTGCCTCAAAGCCCAAACTTATCGAGGAGGTACCATTATTTGAGACACCTGACGCAAATGTGACCTTGAGACATCACTATAAGCAGCCTTCCCTTCTCTGCTTCCCGCCAAGCACCTTCCTGTGGTGCAATGGAACCTTATACAAAACCAACTTTGCAAACGCTTCTTGCCTGCTCATCACCCTGGTCCCTAGGCTGATTCTGTACAGGGGAGCTGAGTTCGCCAACTCCTGGGCCTTGTATTCCCATCACAAGAGAGCAGTCCTCCTGCCTTTAGTGGCAGGGATCTCCCTCACTTCCTCCATTCTGGCTGTGGGAGTGAGCACTGGTGCCCTGGGTTACAGTATTACAGCCCTAGAAAAACTGGAACGGTGGCTTGAGGCAGCCGTCCAGGCATCTGCAGCCTCTCTGGCATCCCTCCAGAGGCAAGTCACCTCCTTGGCCCAGGTACCTCTCCAAAACTGCCGGGCTTTAGACCTCCTTACTGCAGAGAAGGGAGGGACCTGTCTATTCCTCTGGGAATAATGTTGTTACTATATCAATGAGTTAGGACTCATGGAGCAAAATGTTCAAAAACTACAAGAACTAAAAAAGGAACTCCAGGGCATATTAGATAGTAATCCATACAGCTGGTTTCAATCCCCTATTATGGCCTGGTTGGTGCCTCTCCTGGGCCCTGTTGCAGCGATCTGTTTTATACTCCTTATTGGCCCATGTGTTTTCAGTATCCTTCAACAGCACATAGCAGAAATATCACACATAAAAGTCAATCAACTGCACAGTACTTGCCCCTCCTGACTGAGCCTCCTCCAGCCATCAAAACCCCCCTTAAATCCCCCCCCCCATGACACCCCTTGTCAGCCGGAAGTAGCCAGAACAAGTCGTTGCTCATTATGACCAAAAGGCTGGAATGTAAGGTTGGAGGTACCGAAGGGAGGAAAGCGAGGACAGTGCAAGCGGAACAAAGACAGCACCAAATAGCCCTGTGCCATATAAGGAAGGAACGGACAGCTCTTCCTGGATTCCAGTCCCATGACGTGAGGACAAACCCCAGATGCAGACCCCCTCCATCCAGAAGGAGGAGACCTCTGGCTGTCCATCACCCGACCCTGAGCCAATAAAAATTCCCCACATACCCCTGGTGTGGCCCACTTCCCCCTCCCTTCCCTGTGCTTATAAAAACTCCCTGCCTGTCTGGTTGGGCGCGACTTCTCCAGTCTGTGTCTGTGCAGACTGGTGAACCTCACCCGGGATTGTGCTCAAATAAACTGCCTGGCCTTTTGTTGCCTCTCATCGCCTGCTCATTTCGGTTAGAATTTATCTTACACAGGTAGGATGTATTTGACAGTGAAACCAGAGCAAAACCTGCCACATAAAACTCATAAAGAAATCTGTTGAAAAGTTAAAAAGAGCATTCTCAACAAAACTCCCATCTTAGAGTCTATAAAAGAGCTGATCTGGGACAATTATCAAAGCAAGGAATTGAAGGAAAATTTCAGAATACTTACATCTTTCCAGCTCCTTCCTCTCTTCTGCTTGTGTTAAGAAGTGTCCTCAACATTTGATTTTAAGACAGAACTCCTAGAACTGCCTTCTAAACAAAGTGAACAATTTACTTTGTGTGTAGGAGGGTGGTTGTAGGCATAGTGTGGAGGATGTCCTTGCTACTGATGAGATTAGAGGGAGGCAGGGAAGAAAGGCAAAAAAAGAATTTCACTTTGTCCCTGGTAAGAGCCTTGAGCTCGGTTCTACCACAGACCGCTCTCAGAAAGGGCACTGAAGCCTGAAAAGCCGGGAAGTGACCCAGGTTATTTGCAAGTGGATGGAAAGGAAGCTCTCCCTGGCTCCCACTCCCACATTAGACAAAGCTATTCAAGCTACTCAATTACATTTCTGGACCTTTCCTCACTTCCACCAAGCACACTCCCCTCCTTCCACAATGCAACTCTAGGCAATGATCAAGATGTAAGATTTCTGAAGTCAAAACTTGAATTCACCAACAAATGAACATGAATTCTATAAAGCTCATTACAAAAGGGATTTTTGTCTTTTTTCTCTGCTGTATCCCCAAAACTTGTAACAGTGTAATCATTCAGGAAATATTTGTTAAGTGAATTGATAAAAGTAAGTCACCAGAAATAACTTCAACACCCAACCGAACCGAATTGCCTAAGTAGCAATCCATAGTTAAATATTATATAACCATTTAAAAGTTTATTTGTAAAGTTATTGATATGGAGAAACATTTGATTTTTTTTTTTTAAGGAAAGGAGTAACATTCATTACGAAACATATTTTGGTGGGTTTATGGATTTTTGCTTTGTTCTCTGTGATTTATGTTTACAAATTTTATTAGAAAGAAACGCATCTTTTAGTTTTATTTTTTTCTTGAGAACACATCTAAACCCAACGCAGGCATGATTACCACATAGCCTGAACTGAATGTACCTATTATTCCAGTATCCTATATAGTCAGTGTAATGTAGCACTTGCGAGCATGGACTCTGGAGACTGTGTGCCTATATAACTACCTTATGCCTGAATTATGGATCCTGAGTACTGACTCTACAGCTTAATAGCTAATGGATCAGACCAGGTTACTCAGACTCTATTGGCTTTAATTTACTCATTGGTAAAACTGGGTGAAGAGTCATCATTAACGTCAGTGTGAAGATGAAGTGAATTAACACTAATTGAAAGCGCTTAAGAACAGTGCCAGGCCCTCATAGATCACTATGTATACAAGTGTTGGCTTCTATTACTATTGGATTCAAAACCCTCCAGCAGCTCTGGTGAGGATGACATCAAAATCCAGTCCCCGTGCGTGAAGACGGATGGAGGCACGCGGAAAAGCAACGTACGAGCCCAAATAGAACGAAATCAGGCTAAAAACAAGCAACAAGCGGGCATTTAGAGGAAGGAGTGATTCATTCTAAAGAGTGAATCCAGAAGTCACAGGAGCAGTAGTAGCATCGAACCAAGTTCCAAGAACGACTAGGATTTCAAAAGGCGGTTAATAAGGCAGACATGAGCGAAACCGCCAACGATCCCGGCAAAGGCGCAGACTAAATTGAGTTGCTCGTTCCCCGGGACACCAGAAATGCAGGAAAGATGAAGTGAGCAGGCCAGAGGAACGTCTCGTCAACAGAACTGGCTGCAGACTGTTTACCACGCAAAATGCCGCGAGACGGAAGGGGGCCAGTAAGGATAACAATACGCAGTAACAATAACAATCCACGCGAGGTTCCAAACTGTAGAAAGGAAATAAAAGAAGAAAGGTTTCGTGAAAAAAGCCAGAACACCACGACCCGTCGCTGTCCGCCTTCCTCCGGGTGCCGACTTCGCAGACACGGAGACTCGGGGCCCACACACCACCAAACAGCGCCTCCGGCGGACAGCGACACCAGGACACGCCGCGCGACGGCCTAATCTGGCGTGAGAACTACAACTCCCGTGAGACCAGGGGCCCGCACTTGCGTGACTTCCTCTTCCGGCACGCCCTCACGCGCCCCTCAATCGGACCTACCAAGGAGTGGGCCTGGCCGTGAGCGCGTGACCCCGCGTGACTCTGCGTCCTCATTGGCAGGAAGGAACCCGAGAAGGCGTAACTGAACTTGAAAATATCGATGGTGACTGGAGTTGATAGGACAAGGGCGGAGCTAGGCGCGGCACAATACTAGCCAATCAAGCGTGTGGGACCAGCCGGGAAACCGGGAAGGGGAAAGGGGCGAAATGATTCTATGTCACATGCCGCGGGGTCTAGTGGGAGGAGTAGTTGCCCCGCGGCCGCCAGGCACTTCCTGTTTCCGGTTCCCGGAGTGGGGCCCAGCGAGGCGCCCGGGGGACCGCCGGCCTCTGACACGAGCTCTGGGCCGCGGGTCTGCGGCTGGCCGCTCGCCAGCCCTGTCTCCCAGCCCGGGCCGGGGTTCACCCGGGGTTTCTGAGCTTTGGCTGCTCCGTTTGCCCGTGACACGTGAGTACGCGGGGCGTGGAGGAGGAGGGGGCTGGAGAGCGCTCACACCTCGGCGTCTGTAACCGGGCCGGCGCCGCTAAGGCTCCTCTGGCCAGCGTATTAGCCAGAAATCCACCTAGGAAGCCTACGGCGGAAAGGAGGCGGAAGTGTGAGGGCAGGGAGTCACAGGGTCCCGAAGGGAGTGGGGGAGAAAGGACCGACCAAACCGGAGAGGGAATTGACGTGTATTTGGAAGGCAGCGAAATGAAGGTCCCTGGGCGTGGAGGCCGTTTGAGGTGATACTGGATGCCTGTAGCAGGAATTTGGGCCTGCGTCGCAGATTGAGATCAAGTGGCATCATCTGGATGGAGGGCTTGAGCAGTTGGAAAGTCAGAAGACCAGTCGGAACAAGAATTTCTAGAACCTTGGAAAAGTTTGAGGGGGATGCACTTATGGTATGAAGAATTCTAGCTTCCACCCTTGGGACAGAGACTACTTCTATGGCTTTTCAACATGTGGCCTTTTAGCACATTACGGCTGCCCTTCTAAAAGTGTAGGCTACTGGAGACACGAGATAAGGACTACTACATCAGAAATGAGCCGGGGAGAAGAAAGTAGAAATTCCATTTAAATATGGAAAAATGCTCATGACTAGTCTTGAAGGGGTGGGGATTGAGTGATACAAAGGCCCAGTGATGGACCTGCTTCCCAAATCCTGGCTGAGTCATCCCACTGAAGAGGAATAAATTAGCATTACTAAGGGATTTTCAAGATCTTAGGCGTTTTTTTTCCCTTTGTTTCCAAAGTATCTGGACAAACTCTTGCACCTTGAGAATCTTATTGTAGTGCATTAGAAAACACAGTGTAGCCCTTGGATTTCATACTCTTCATAATACATTTTGCACCCCTGTGTTTATCAGGAAATTTCCAGCAAATGCCTTTATGCCCTGAATGGTCAAATTTGCCCCACTAACTTCATACATCTTTAATACTTGTATAACTTAGGGTAAGTAACTTAACTTGTGTATGCCTCAGTTTTCTCATCTGTAAAATGAGAGCAATTTGCCTACTTTTATGGGTTGTGAAGATTAACAGAGTCTAGATGAAGCACTTAGATTATATACCACTGAATCTAAAAGAAGCAACTCAAGCATAGCCAGACCTTAAACGGGAAAGAGAAAGAATGTAAGTTTATTCTCATCCTCAATTTTTAAACCAATAAACAAATGAAAGATAATTCAGCTCAACTAATGCTTTTTTTTTAATGCTTTGTCCTTTTCCAATTTTGTGAGATTCGTTGTTCTAATTTGGGAAATCAGCTACTGTTAACAGATAAGGAACTAGCTTTGAAAGCAAAGAACACAGCCATCTGTATAAGATTACTCCAGAAAACTGGTCCTGGAAAAAAAATTGTGATAGCCCATGATGTTGAAGTTTTAAATTAGGTCCTGGGAGAAAAGGAAAAATGGCATGTTAAATCAATCTAAGAAAACTAGTCTCATTTTTTAAGTAACTCAGCTGGTCAAGTTGCATTGAGCAAGGAGTTAATTTAGGGAAGGTAGGAGTTTGAGGACTGAATTCTTTATTCCACGTCCTATTCAGTGAACTATGTGAAGGAATCACTTCCCCTTCTTGCTTTGTCAAAAAGAAAGCAAAGCTTTGGCTGCCTACTCTGATCCCCAAAAAACTAATGTGAAGAAGATGCACATGAAGTGATTAAGTATAGACCATGATTAAGTATAGACCATGAGATCTGGGGCCAGACTATCTGGTTCACTAGCTGGGTCTTGGTTTTCTCATCTGTAAAATAAGGACCATGGTAGTAATGCCACATAGGGCTATTGTAAAGATTAATTAGGTAATGTATATTAAGTGCTTCAAACAGTGCCTGGCAGAAGGCAACCACTCTCTTAAAGTTTTGCCTATTGGTATTTCATGTGTTTATGAGGGCCTCAGATGCTACAGCTGGCTGTAATCCATGAAAAAACATTATTATTACTGTAGTGAGTTGGTGTTTGGAGTACACGAAGTCAGGGAGACAACTCCCCAAGTATTTGTTGCCCCGGTGGAATGTGGGAAGCAGAAAGTCAGATGTTTAGGGGAGAGGAGAAAATCATTCAGAGCTTCCATTTTCCTATCTTTAAACTTATTAGTACCCATTAAATTCTGCCTATTTCAAGTTTTACATTATAAAAATTCAGTGGAGTCAGTGGACCAGCATGAAGAAGAATTAGAGAACATTAAAGCATATTCCAGCCAAAGTCCAGATCTGCAGTACAGAAGCATTTTATTGTAAGTGAGAAAAGTTTGGAAGAACTACTTGCTTCTTGCAAGGGTAAATCTGTGTGTCCTGGTTATGAAGGTGGATTAGAGAAAAAATTAGTTTGGGAAATGGAGCCTTGGGTTTCCATTCCGAGAGAAGTACAAGCCCCAGGTGGATTGGATTTACTATACTGTAAAGTGACTTGGTGATTCCCAAGGGTTGTCAACAGATTGGAGTGTAGAAGGACAACTACACTTGTCTAGAAATCTAGAAACTCCTGAGATTTGTGGCTTATAGAGCCTGAGGTGAGTTATGGAAGACTTCTTCAAACCACTTGTTTCAACTTAGTGAATTTTCTTCCTATAATTAAATGGACTGAATGGTTTTTCAGAAATGAGACATTAAAGTAGATAAATGTCAAGCTGTAGGTGTTTATGGTGAATATGAATGAACACTGTTGGATGCTCTGAATATTGAAATGAGAAGTTACGGCTCCAAGTATTCAAGTCTCTCTCTATTTTACATCTTCCTTAATAATTTCCAGCTAGACCTTATCAAGTGTTAAGCTGTAATTTGAGTGTTATCTTAGGGCCATTATTTATGAACTAGGATTAAACTTTAAATAATAGGATCTCTCAGTCTTTCACTAAACAGTAAAGAGGCAGGAATGTCTCCACCCAGGCTGTCATAATTCTTTTTTGTTCCTTCCTTTCCTCTTCTCATCCCTATAGTTTGTTCGGAAAGACCCACCTATGAGACTGAAAGTTAAGGTGTATATATATATATAGTTTCCTGATAAAGGTGCTCTTGGCACAGATACTAAAATGTACTGTTTGTTGCATACCCTAAAAAGTCCTATAGTTTCTGGGTTGTCAAAACACTCCTCCTTGGCAGCACCTAAGTATTCCCTAGGCCATTGGTTGGTTGATCCTTCTGACAATTTCTAGGATGAAAAATGGGTCTTTCTCCCAGTAGAGCTGAGGAGGTGTTAAACTGCCTTGGAAGTTGAGGTGGTCTTGTTTCGTGCACACCTTTCAGTAATCAGCAACAATCTCTAGACACTTAACTCTTCACCAATGCCACCCTCTTTGTTGAATGCACATTATGTCCCTATCCTGAATGGGTACAGGAAGGAGAGGAGGTGAGTGATGGTATCTGGTAAGGATGTCAGCTAGGAGGACACTTTCAAAATCAGTTTGAAAAAGAAAAAGAAACCTAGAGATTTAAGAATCCAATTCTGAATATCAAAGGACAGGAAAAAATAACTTGGGTGAGAGCTGAAAGCTTGAAAAAGATACACATATGGTAAACCCATCATCATATTAATGAAGAAAACTGGTTGCTGTAAAACAGGTGAGGGAAAGAAAAGAGAAGGAAAAAAAGGTAAAAAAATGCACTTATTACCCATCCATATGCTTGATCTCTCTCTCGCTTCTCTCCTGATCCTCCTGCCATTCCTCAGCACGCATACCTGCCCCGGAAAGGATGCTCCCCCTCTGCAGCTGCTGGAGGACTCGGCTGCTCCTGCCGCTGCTCCTGGCTGTGGCCATCAGAGAAGCATGGCAGGCAGAAGAAAAAACCTGCGACCTGATAGGAGAAGAGGGCAAAGAGTCAGAGAAAGAGTTGGCTCTACTGAAGAGGCTGAAGCCACTGTTTAATAAAAGGTAAATCAGAAGAATCTTAAAGGCCTGGAGAAAATAACTATTTTAAATAAGAATCTTTTCCTCTTATTACTGAATATGGAGAGAATACATGTATAATAACCTCCTCCAAGAGATGGTTCTTATCTGAACTTCCAACAGTATGGACCTTCCTTGGCCATGGTATCTTGTTTTTTTTTATGATATAGAGGAAGCCCATGGCCCAGTTTTTAGTAGCCATGCACAATTCTATTACGCAGAAGACTAGTTCCTTCCAAGACTGGATCCAAGAGACCAGCTTGTAGGAACTACAAGCATTATTTGATAACTTCATGTAATAAGACTTTAGAAGTATCAGATAAACATGTTTAGGCATATACATGTCATTTTAAGTGTCAAGAATCTTTAAGTATATAAATCTGCAGATGATCTCTAAGGACCAAGGGAACATGGGATACTTCCCATGAACATAGACCCTTATTCACAGGGAAAGAGTAGCTAACACAGCAGGTATTCTAGAAACATCTAAAATATCTAGCTGTCTTGGGTGGTGTATTTTAATCAGTCATGATCAACAGTTAGAATGGTCTGTCAGGGTCTTGGATTCTCATGATTCAGCAATTATTTTTCACTGTTACATTTAGCTCTGATACCAGATAAATTGAATATGTGCCCTTTTTGGTGGGGTGGAGGTTTAAAGGAAGGGAGGCTGCTTGTCTGAAGGCTGATAGCCAGTAACTCTCCTCTTCCTTCTTTCTCCTCTTCTCCTTACAGCTTTGAGAGCACTGTGGGCCAGGGCCCAGACACGTATATCTACCTGTTTAGGGTATGCCGGGAAGCTGGCAACCACACCTCTGGGGCAGGCCTGGTGCAGATCAACAAAAGTAACGGGAAGGAGACAGTGGTAGGGAGACTCAATGAGACTCACATCTTCAATGGAAGTAAGACTCTCCCTGTTGGTTGATTAATTGATCCCAAGTCAATTGCTCTGGCAATCCTGAAAGTCTCAGCCTTTTGCAGTTTCTTCAGAATATCATGTGGTATGTGGGGTTCAGCACATCTGAAAATCATACACTTTGAATCTGGCTAATTTTAAATCTGAGCCACAGGATACCTAGTTCTCAGGACATTGATGTTTGTGTTCAGGATAGTGAACGGCTTTGCAAAAAGAAGAATCTAGCTGGACTTCTATAGCTTGGAGTCCTTTTATACCTATTGTTTCCATGTTAAGCTTGAAAGTACCAACTCTGACCATTTCTCATCAAGTTAGTGAGGCTTTGCCAGTTAGATATTAAGAGTTAAAGCAATTTTTTTGCAAATCAGCCATTCTACAAAAATTCTGCACCAACTTTTATACTATGCTGGTATTTCTCAAAGGTTATAAAGTTGTATTGCTGTAAGGGACACTGTGAGCACATGTGGTCTGATTTCCTCCCTTAAGCAGATAAATAGGTAAACTATCCAGTGTAGATATTTGCTTCTATAAACAATATAATAAAAAATAACATCAAGAGTTTAGATCTACGGTCTAGGCTTTGACCCAGCTCATACTTACTTGTCCTGTGATTTTGAAAAATGATTCCTCCTTTTTGACTTTTCATTCCAAATTGGAAGCAGAATCCTTACTTCACAGGACTGTTGAATCAAATGATAATCTTGTAAAAGAAATTTGAACACAGTAAATACTAAAGAAAAAGAAATGTCTCCTAATCTTAAAAATCATACACTTTGAATCTGGCTAATTTTAAATCTTAGGCTTTCCCCTGCCACCCAGTAACTATGGAACCTCTTCTTTTGATGTTAGCAGCTGTTCAGAAATGTGAATCGTTGTTAAGGTATGGATTGTAATTGTTTTTGCACTATCAGTTGCCTGCATTTAATGTGGAAAACGGAGATTATTCTTACATGAGTACCTGATTTTTAGCTGTCTTAACAAGGGAACACAAAACTAGTAAAGAAGCACATTATACTTGGTATTTCTGGTGATGAGAATTATTTTTATTAAAACCAATTTCATTGGACTCAGTTTCATGCTGCCGTAGGATTCAGGTCTATCTCTGCTTTTCCCCAACCCCAAGGCTTCATTTTCCTTGTCTCTCCTCAGGTAATTGGATCATGCTTATCTATAAAGGGGGTGATGAATACGACAGTCACTGTAGCATGGAGCAGCGTCGTGCAGTGGTGATGATCTCCTGCAATCTACACACGCTAGCGGTGAGGCACCCTGGAGCCTGTGAGCCTAGAGGGGAGAGGAGGAGACTGTCCTTAGGTGGGAGAGAATTTCCAGAGGGGCAGGATACACTGGACAGAAAAGAGCAAACTGGAAGTTTAATTTTTCCATGTCACAAATACCCATCTTCCATCACCCGTGGAAAATAGGGTATTGAACCAGGAAGAAGCAAATGTTTTTTTTGGGTTTTGTGGGGGTTTTCTTTTTTTAAATAGGACTCAAAAGAAAACACTTCACAACGTAAATGTTGTGTTCTGTCCTTTCATCATCAGGACAATTTTAACCCTGTGTCCGAGGAGCGAAACAAAGTCCAAGATTGTTTCTACCTCTTTGAGATGGATAGCAGCCTGGCCTGCTCCCCAGAGGTCTCCCACCTCAGTGTGGGTTCTGTCTTACTTGTCACGTGAGTACTTCTTCCTTTATCAAAGCCTTTTTTTAAAAAATAGTCAGTAATTACTTGATGGACTATGGGCCCAGAATATGGGCATATTTGTCATACTGTAATTGGAGAGGAAAGAACTGTGTGAAAATCCTCTTTAAACAGGGACTATGGAAGGTTTAAAAAATGAGATTTTATGTTTTGCCCCCAAGAAATATTTGTGTTTGAGGTGCTTTTTTTTCCCCCTACTGGAGGGCTGAACAGTTTTTGATTGTAGAACTTCTGGAGAAAAGGAATTGTGTATCTTACAGCAGCTATTTTTAGCTGTCAGTCAGAGCCACATAGTCTTATTTTTTTCTGAAACTTTTGCTTTTCTGACTGACAGCACTCTAATTGGCTGTCTAAAGAAGCTACCAGATCCCCTTTAAGATCACTACCTTTATTTTTTTAATGGAACACAGTTGGGGAAACAGTGAATAGAGATTATCTTTAGTATCTGAGTTTTTAGTATATATGTCTGTCTTCCTCAACAGGTTTGCATCACTGGTCGCAGTCTATATCATCGGAGGGTTCTTATACCAGCGACTGGTGGTGGGAGCCAAGGGAATGGAGCAGTTCCCCCACTTAGCCTTCTGGCAGGATCTTGGCAACCTGGTAGCGGTAAGTAACAGGGCAGCTGGCTGAGTCTGTGACTTGCATCCAAGGTTGAGTCACAATCCTGGGCTGCCCAGACTTAGGGGTTTCCTGAGACACAGGACCTTGGGTGCTAAAACCAAAAGTCCCTGCAAACCAAAGACAGTTGGGTGCCCTAGTACAAAATATTAAGTAGCAGAGCATCTTAGTCTAGCCTTGCTAAGATTTAGCTGGAAGAGCAACACTTGCTTGGGTTTAGGCATCTGATATAGCTGTTAAGGAGCCCAGGTGGGGAGGTGAGACCTAATTAGAATTTTTCTCACTTCCCCCGAATTGAATTTAGGCTGATCCTGGGAGCTCCTGGGTTCTCTCTTCATTATTCCTGGAGAAAACTAGTTTTTGCCACCTTCTTAAACCACAAATAAGATCTGCCTTACCCCAAAGTCAGTTATTCCAAGTTAACTTTTCCTTCCTTTGCTTTTTTCACTACAGGATGGTTGTGACTTTGTGTGCCGTTCTAAACCCCGAAATGTGCCTGCTGCATATCGTGGTGTGGGGGATGATCAGCTGGGGGAGGAGTCAGAAGAAAGGGATGATCATTTGTTACCATCCGAAATGTGCCTGCTGCATATCGTGGTGTGGGGGATGATCAGCTGGGGGAGGAGTCAGAAGAAAGGGATGATCATTTGTTACCAATGTGACTGCACTTTAAATGTCCAGCTGCTTCTTCAGTCCCCCAGACCAAAGCATACTCTGCCAGATTTCTGAAGCAGTCTCCACTCGTCTCTTATCTCATCCTTAATATTGCTCTTGCTTTCCAGTTTGCTTTTGGTTTGCATCCTCTTCTTACGAGTAGAAATGCCTTCCCTTTATTCCCTATTTTGTTTTTCCGCCAGAGAGGTGCAGTTGTTAAGACAGCAGTGATATAACAGGGCCTGTGACAGTGGAGGCTATTGCACTGTCTCTTGGTATCAGAAGATACAAGGTTGGTTATAGTGAGCCAAAGGGTGAGGCAGGCTCCCTGACCCTCTTTTTTAAACACATTTTCACAAGTTTTTGAGACACTGGATTTCTTTAATTAAAAAAAAGAGCAAAGAACCGTTATTTATACAAGGTGATTGCTTTCCCACTGTTCCGTCCATACAGCAGTCTCTATAAGAATTGGAATTCCTGGCTGTTTGGACTACTTTGCAGTGATTACATGGTGGCAGTCCAACTACTGCCATTTGGGCTGAGCCTCGAGATACACATTCACTTCTCCCACCTCTGGGATTGGCACAGGAGGAATGTGAAATTCCCCAACTGGAGGATTATTTAGGTTACCATCACATCACTTGTCAGCACTGAAATGACTTCGTAGCTGTAACTGGGCCCTGGATTGGGTTCTTGTGGTTATCAGTATATAGCCAAAATGCCTAATCCAGAAGCCATGTTTTGTAAAGGGAGATTGAAACTGACCTCCCATGCTGCAGGGGGTTCCAAAGAGGGGAGGTCTGTTTACTTTGTAGTAGGATCTCCTTGATGGCTTTCCTCTCCCCACTGAAGAGTACAGCTGGTCAAGCTTTTCTTCCAAGCTGTTTCCCTCTTACCAGTATTTCTGAACATGTTGCACTTTCTTCCCAGGCATATTCACTCTCCCTACCCCTACCTGCCCCTGACCCCGTCTTCTGGAAAGGGAAGCAGAAGTGGTACACTTAAGAGGAAGGGCCCTGCCATCCTCTGCTCTGGGTGTGGAAGGCTGCTGCACCTGTCCCTTCTGGCTCAGGGAAGTACCCTCTTGCCCACAGCATTTCTGTGCAGAGAGGTCTTTAATCATCTGATGCTTCCAACTTTCTGTTTAGACCATGTGCACAGAATCTGGCCTGATCTTTCTGTAGTAGTGAACTTGGGTCACTGAAGAGTAACATGGCTCCACTGGACACAAGAGGAAGAATAGGCAGGGCCCTTTTAAAGCCTTTAGAGAAGAAAAGTGAGATTATTTCATCTTTGAACTTCTAAATACTATGGGAGTGATACTTCTTTTTCTTTCTAAACAGGGAAATGTTATAAATGCATCTTTTTTGTTAATTTGTTTGCATACCTCCCCCACTCGTGTTTTAAATGAAAAAAAAAACCTACACTTTTTGTACAAAAGCACTTAAAAGATTTTTTTAAAAGTGTCGGTCTAGTCATTTGTGTGACACACACTGGAACAGAGTAAGAGACAACTGAGACCAATTTTCATCCTTTTACTGAGGAGGAAAAAATAATATTTTTGTTGTAGAAGGAATAGCGCCTAAGGCAGGTACTTATACTCCTGACCTTAGCCCCACGCACTCCTGTTTTATAAAGCTATAGGACAGAGCAGAGTTGGAACTGAAAAGAAAGGGGTAGAAGACAACAGATAAATTGGGAGACAGCAGGGGGATGCAGAAAGAATGACAGCAGCCACATGTGCCAGACACTTTCAGCTCCTGCAGCAAATCAGAACAATGCCAAACAAGTCTGCACTGACCGGTGACCCTGGTATGGAGGCAGGAGATGTTCAGTACTATGGGGGTGACGACAAAGAAAACTCAGCCACAGCTACAGGTGGTCCAGACAATCCAGAGGGAGTACCAGCTTCTGCTACTCGTGTCACACAACCTAGAAAGAGCCTCTCTGTCCTGCGGAGGCGTACCTATGTCCCACCTGTTCCTTGCCTTGCCGTGCTGTCTGTCCTCTTGGACAGCTGGGACCCTGGCTAGACACTCTACTCCAGGATAAGGCTGAGCAGTCCTAGTTCTCTAGACTGCCTCTTTTTATAAAGATTGGATTAGGGTAGGTGAGAATTGGAAAGATTTTTAAAAATATAGTAGAACCCAGAGAAAATGTCAAAGCTGCCACCATATAGCACCAGCAACCAGTTCTTGCGTTTTCCTTCCTTGTCTCAGTAATCCTCTCTCTGGAAGATTAACAACTGGAACAGCTCTTTCTTCCCTGTAAAGTCTGCTGGTACCAGGTTATAACCTGGATAGTGGGGAGTGTCTGCCTTAGGCTGGTTGTGCAAGAGGGCCACCTTAGGTTTCCTTGAGGACATTTATCTTGGCGCAGATCTTGAGGGCAGGGCCCAGCTTGATATTCATGGCACTCATAAGATGTTCTTCTTTAAGTAATAAAAGGGCCTGTCCATCAATCTCCTGGGAACGAAACTCCTCTGCAATCTCTTGGCAGCCTAGGAGGAAATGGTGGGAATACATCTGAGAAACTGCATCGTAGCACCAAAGGATGGGAGAAAGTAACTATGGAAGAGTGAAGACCTAGCAAAGGTTAATCCCCAAGTACGTGTCCCAAATTAATAGGAAGGTCTTAGGTGCAGCCTTAGCAGCAAAATGAAATCAGAGCAACTGGCTGTTTTTAAAAAATAATTAGCCAAGATACAGAACAACAAAGTTGTTCACCTTAGAAATGGCTTCACTTAAATAGTTACATTCAGTACAGGGGAAAGAGAGCAAAATAATGTTTTCTTCTTAACTGGCAAAAAATTAAAGTTATGAGCCTTTGTGGTATTTTGTTTAAGGGCCCAGAATTCAGACAATTATCAAGAAGGATAGGGTGATTTTCTTTTCTGGAGAAAACCATCCCTTTGTCAAGAATAGCTTATAAACAGTCCTGACTTGAAAAGAGTCGGGTCATAATGGCCCCTGATTTCCTAATCCCCTTCTCTGCATAAAAGGATTTTATCCATGGTGGGTATCACTATCACACATAAAAAAAAATCGGTAAGAAATATGGCTGAATCCTAAAAAGATGAAAATTGAACACTGGGATAATTTTGCGACAATGCTGTCAACTAGGAAGGAAACTAGAAAACCAGGCTGTGGGCAAGTGACTTGAATAAATATCAAAAGTAGAGCCTTTGTTGGTCCATACTTGAAGCCCCTATTGTTTAATAAAATTTCTGTTCCCTGTTAAAAAGACCCATGTAGGATGACCTCAGGAAAACAGCGTAGGTGGCCTGAGTTCTCTTGGGTGTGCCCTTGATACCTTGTAGAGAGGCGATAAACTCATACACCTCCTCTACACTCCAGCGGCTCGGATTACTAGACAGGAACACAGGGTTGATGCCATGTAATTCCGGTGTTGGTGGAGCTGTACTGGGGTTCCCCAGGTCACGTTCTCCATGCCCCGCTCTCACGGACAAAGGCCCCGGAGATGTTGGAGAGAGTGCTTCATCGTAACTGGAATTATCTGAGCCCCGGCTTGAGTCCTCTTGACCCTACAGAGAAAAGCCACAAAACAACAAGGTAAATGAATGACAGCATCAAGTTTTCCTCTCCCCAACTACCCTGGGTTTGGATTAACTGAGCATAGAAGAGAACTTAATTTAAGTGAAACAATTTGTACTCTGTTTACAAATGCCCAAAGTCATCAGTCTATTCAAGTGCCTTTCAAGCATAAACTGTACCACTTTCTTGATTCTCCCCTCCGATCAACAACTGACCTAGATTTTTCTCTACTCAGTGTTAAGGATTAATGGATACATGAACCAGTAGTCAGGTGAAGGGAGATAAGCAATCGGGAGCGCTTGGAATTTGGAGTAATACAATCTGATAACCAGAATTCTGGTCTCCTACTCTAACCTGGGCAAAGGAATTGCCCCGATAAAAAAGGATGAAGGAAGTCCGTTTTAAAGGTAGCTGGCCCTGCAACAGCTCACCCGGTGGCGTTTGCCCTGGATCTTGGCACGGGCGATGTCAGAGGAGCTGCGGCGGGGTCCACGTCGGCGAACTCGAGCATAGTTGGCTTCTTGAAATTCTTTCATTTTTTTCCTCTTCAGCCGGAACTGATGGCTACAGCTCACATTATACCTACAGGATATCAAAGCTGCTGTAGAAGACTATCTTGCTACCCTGCACTAAATATGAATTGATACTTTAAGAGCTCATTTGGGAAAGGGAATGAAAACAGAGGAGACGTCAAGTATCCACTGTGAGGTGATCCTAGAGAGGGGGTGTGCTATTAGAGGGCGGAACCAGTGCTGAGGTGGGGGGTGCCTACAGTACCTCTTGGCACAAGTCATGGAGCAGAATCTCTTGGAGCCACGAAACTGCTCTGCAGGGGCGTACTTCCCACAGTACTCACACTTCAGGAGATTCGCCTTCTTATCTAGCTCTGAAAAACAGGGCATTGCTGGAAACTTGCCATCATTTTCTGCTGCCATCCAGGCCATAGGGCTGGACTCTTAATTACTCTTAGGGTTGGCCCCCAAAGACCTACACAAAATCTAACTGAGAATCCCAAAAACATAAAGGTCAAAATCTAAACCATGAAGACATGACATGTCCCTCAAGAACATCACAGTCTTCATAACCTTAAGCCAGACTTTCTTTTAGATGACTAATTTTATTCTAGTTTGTACACTCAGATTGCAGACAAGATTGCATTTTTAAAAAGGAGAGGAACTAATTATTAATGCCTATAAAGATATAAGATCCCTCTCCCACAAGTTTTCCACGAAAGTCCTTAATATAAATTATGAAATTCAGAATAAGTAGAACTGGAAATTGAGGAATATCATATTTTTGATCATCTCTTGAAAAATAGATCCTTACAGTAAATAATTCAACAGGTTACTTTGGCCTGATAAAGTTCCCCTAATCCTATGGAACTCCTTTTATGTGATTCTACATGTTCTCATACATGATAGGGTGTCTGTCTGTGGATGGACTTCATATAATTCCCACTTTAAATAATTACGGTTGACCTTTAACACAGGTTAGGGGCACCAAACCTCCATGCAGTTTGAAATACACGTGTAACTTTTGACTTACCCAAAACTTAACTACTAACAGTCTACTGTTGACTGGAAACATTACCAGTAACAGTCGATTCACATGTAACACATACATATTACATGTATTATTGCTATAAGGTAAGCTAGAGAAAAGACAATGTTTTTTCAAGTTGTCACGACCTCCAAAAAATTTTCATGTATTAAAAAAAATCTGCATATAAGTAGACCCGCACAGTTCAAACTCTTGTTGTCCAAGGGTCAGCTACACTACTTGACCCAGACCGCGAACACATCTCCAAGGGCTGCCTTCCCCTAAACAACTAACTACTTACCAGCAGATGGGCTGTCCCCTCCCAAGAGGCCACCTGACTGATTCTCCTTCAGCCCTGTTGGGAGGCCAGTCTGCAGTGGCTTCTCAGACTCTTTCAGTAACTGAGAACAACCCACCTGTCCCAGAAAAAGTTTAGTTAGGTTAGCCTAAATCCTTTCTGCTTCTTTATAGCTTTCCCCAGCATTTCTCACTATCATCTCTGGATCTCTGAATTAATGGCCAAGTCCGGTTCAGAGAAAATCATTTTCAATATGGCAACCAAGAGTCTCTAAACTGGCTTTTTTCAGTTAGAGACTGAAAGAACAGGCTCCTACCTGCCTCCCTGTATTAGAGAACAGGTTCCTACCCTGGCTCTCTTTTGTCCTTTTCCTTCCTAAGTTGCAGGGAACACACCAGGAGTCAAGATACCTGTCTGTGTTCTAGTCCTGATTCTGCAACTTGTGGTATCTAGAAAAGTCCCTTAACTTCTCTACCACAATTTTCTTTATTATAAGAAAACGTATTTGTCAAACTAAACATTATTGCTTTAAAGGTTTTTTCCTTTTATTCTTTTCTTCCCACTTCATATTCTTTCCTTTTCTCTTCTCTTCCTTCTTTACAACTAGTCATACAAATAGATTTAAACCATTCTGTAATAATTAAATAGTTCTGAGCTCTTATTTTAGTGTGGTTTGAAAAGACAACAATCAGATCAAGTGAGAGTCCCACTTGAAACTCCCACCTTCTGGCCCTGCCCTCACCGGGAAAGGTTCTGCTCCTTCCTGGATAACGAAGCCTTCAATGATGTGGGTGAGAATCTGGGGCTTCACAATGGCCTGTGGGGGTTTTGAGTCACCCATCTGTCTGGACACCATGGCTAGTGTAGGAGGCGGTGCTGATGGGGCAGGAGCCAAGGCTACTAGGTCACTGCTTGGGGTGTTAGCATTCACACTGCTCAAGGGTTCGGCTCTCTCTGGAAAATCAACACAGGTCAAGGAACACACAGGGTGACGTGACTGACCCATCTGTTAGTCAAGCCAGCCTGATCTTCCACAGTAATACACCTTCTCACCTTTGATCACTGACCCTGGATTCCCAGCTTCTGGATCTAGGATTTGCCCACCAGGTTCAGGCCCATATTCTCTAAACCACATGTCTCTCTTAGCTGACTCAGAACACAGCTCCCATCTCTACGCTCTGGTAGCACCACTGAGTCACATACTCACCTCCAAGGCTGCTCTTCTCCTCCATCGCTTTGGGGCTCTCTGCCACTGGAGATGCCTTGGCAGGAAGCATTGAACCTAATGTGGAGACATCATCTCTCTCCTCCTCAGACTCTGCCTTGCGTTTGACAGCCAATGTCTGGGGCTTGCCCTATAAAGTGAAGAACAGGAAAGAAACCAAGGTTTATGAATGAAGCACCATTCCTCCCACACTGTCAGAGAAAATCTTTAGTTCCAAACTTGCTAATTTGTATACTTCCCCCAGTACACTAAAATTCCTGGTTATTCCCAAGAAGTGTTAACTTCCACATCAGGACAAACGAAAATGCAACACTATTTAGTCCTGAACTAGACCTCAAGACCTTGGGTTGTTTTTCTAAAGACTATGACTTAGATGGTTAACACTATCTTGATCTGGGTACAGATGCAAAAATCAAGAATGGATTCAGTAGCAAATTGAGGAATATGAAGTTCAGGTATTATATAAATTAACATCTCTCTTACAAAATGAACAAATAAGTAACAGTATCTTGGCCTTCCATTTATCCCCCTCTCTTCCATAAGAGATAAATATCAAAATCTTAAACTTCTCAATTTTATTCCCCTCCTAAGTTAAGCATCGTTTCCATTCCAGGGGAACAATGCCCTCAACACCATCAGACCTCACTCACCGGCAGGTGCACAGACTGCATGTAGAAGGCAGCGGGGACCTGGGCTACAGCAGGTGAGGAGCTGGTAGTCACCCCCTTTACCACATGTGCTGTCCCTTGCACAGGGCCAAGGGTCATCCCAGAGGCCAATGTAGGAGGGCACTCCTGCAGTGCACCAGGAGCCTGGGATGAAGGTGGCGAGGCAGCCAGATGGGCCTGACCAGGCTGCAGTGCGCCCGGCATTCCCCGGGAAGAAGGAACAGCAGCTGCCAGCTGTGCCAGTCCCAAAGCCTGGGCCTGGGCTGTACCTGGCTGTCGGGTGCCCACAACTTGCACAGGAATATGCGGAGGTGGCTGCTGGGTAGCTGACATCTTAGCAGCCCCTAACTGAGGAGGCTTGATGGGTGCTACTGGTGGTTTGGACTGGATGGGGATGGGTGGCTTGGGGGCTGGGTCAGGTGGGAGGGACAAATGTGAAGACTGAAGCATGGGCTGGACCACCAGGGTCTGGGCCTGCTGCTGGGACTGGGAAGGCGGGACAGGCTGGGCAGGTGGGACTGGCGGAGGCTGAGGGGCAGACAGGGCTGTGGCTTGCGGAGGCGGCTGCTGGGCCAGCTGGAGGTGCGTGGCCGTGTGCAGCAGCTGCGACTGGCGGTGCTGGAACTGCTGCTGGTGGTGGATGGCGATCTGCTGCTGGATCACCACCTGCTTCTGCTGGAGGTGGATCTGCTGCTGCTGAATCAGGGAGTGGGGCTGGATCTGTGTGTAGGTGGCTACGGCACAGGAGAGCAAAACCACCAACACTGTGAAGTAAAACTATCTTCCCAAGAGGTACTTAGTTTGGATTACATGGTGAATGGAAATCTAACCTGAAGGACCTGAGAGAGCACCTCACTCATACTTTCCTCCGAGTCATCACTACCTTCATCTAGTCTGAAAGATCGCAAGGAAAGAATGCCCTTGCTCAGTCATTTAATAATCTTCAGGAATTTCTTGCATTTATCTGACTTTCATTTTCTTTGCTATACTGAAAACCTGTTTCTTTGTACTCAGCAAAGGAGGAGGGCTGGCCCATCCTCTGTATGGTTACGCTCTTGAGCTCCTCAGGAGCTAAGTCCATGGTTTCTGTTCATCTCTACATCCCTTGAACCCAGCCCAGTGCCTGGCACATGAGAAACACTTAACAGTTCACAGAGGTAAAGATACCAACACCTTCCCATGAAGGCCTTGTGTTTAAGATTCATCAGTTTAAGCCCCCACCTATGAGAAGTCTTTAAGAGTCTGCTGCTGTGGGCTCTGGTTTCACCCAGTTTCCTCCACTGTAAATTGGAGTGGATAACCTCCACCCCGCCATACTCTACCGGGTGGTCCAGAGAACACATATGATATGAAAGTGCTTTGGAAACGGAAGTGCTATAGCAGGTAAATGCCAGGTATTAGTAATACAACTTACAAAAGTAACTCTTACTTTTTGAGATTAAATTATCCAAATATAGCAACCACAAGTGCTAGTAACGAAGAAGGCAAAAATAACCATTACCAAGTAAGGTGTACACATCTATGTCTAACCACAGTCTGAAAGCAACGTCAAACTATTTGGGGTTATTACTATCATTACTTATTCTTTTTTATCCTTATCATTGACACTGATGATTACAAGCTGGCGATACTAAACCCCGGCTCTATTTCCCAGTCCCAAGTGCTCTAAGGCACTTGTGCTGCCTCTGCTCTACCCTGGGCCAACTACCTACCACTAAACACAGTGAGGAAGAGAATTCACAACTTCTAAATTCTGTGAGGACACCTGTTTTCAAAGATGTATCCCTAGCCCCTAGAACACAGGAGACAATTTGGTAAGAACTGGGTACATGAACAGGTCGGGTGAATAAACCAACAAACTCCAAGTCTGAGGAAGAAAGGACAAAGCCACTTAGTCAACTGACTGCTGCTGATGGAAACAGACAGACCTCTCTCTGTCACCTGTCCTCCTATCTCCCGGGACTCATAGAAGCAGGGCTAATGTGGTTCTCTTGCCTTCCACTACTCCAGGACCCAGAAAAAAACAAGAAAAAAGATGTGATGCACTCTGACTTCAAACAAGTTCTGAGAGGAGGATGACACTGTGCAGGGAGACACTTACCTGAGCTAATCAGGGTCTGGCTGGGAGCAGGTGTAGCTGTCCGTGTCAGGTTCATGCCCACATTCTGCTGAGCAGGCCCATCTGTGTCCGCCTTCTTGGCTGCTGCACTTTCTGCCTCTGTCTGGCTGCCCTGACTCACAGTCACTGTCTGGGCTGCAGGCAAAGGCTGCACCACTCCTGTGCCCTTCCTGGGACAGCTCCCGCCACCCATTCCTGAGGAAGGCAACTGACCCAAGCCCCCAGGTGGCTGGCCACCTCCACCTGGACCCATGGACCCCGGGATGCTACTCCCACTGCCTCCACCAGCTTGACTAAGGTTGAGGGACTGGCCTGAGGTCCCAGAAGAAGCCTGAGCCACAGCCAGGGCCTGGCTGGAGGCTTGGGAGAGGCTGGAGACAGGGCTGGCTCCAGGAGGAATGGCCTTCTGGGTAGAGCCTTGCATTTGGGGTCCTTGGGCTGAGGCCTGTTGGTTCCTCACTGCCAAGTTCTGCACCTGAAAAAGAAGAAGAAAAAGATTGGAAAAGGGGAACCAGAGGCACTAAGGTCAAAGATTTCTGTGACTGATTCAGAAGCAGCAAGACATCTACAGATATTCTACAGCCCACCTCAACTCATCCCCCCACCTTCACAGTTACATACATTAGAGGCCTTCCAGGCACCCAGGGAGGAATTCTTGAATCATACTTGATTTCTCAGTCTCCTTTTATCACTACCAAATCTGTCATCAAGTTTGGTCATTTATTCCTTCAAAATATCTCGTATTTTCCCTTTCCTCTCCTCTCATTCATTCAACATTTACCAAATACCTACCATACTTCAGGTACTACACTGGATACTGGGAATGCATGGATGAAAGACACAATCCCTACTCTTAATGAGTACTAACTAGGGAAGAGAGAGAAGAAAACTCCCACTGACTCTATTACACTCTGAACAGATACGCACAAAGTGCAATGGGAACACAGAGGAGGAGGAATTATCTCAGACTAAGGAGATCAGGGAAGACCTCGGGAACTGGCATGTTGGGTCTGAGACCCACTGGGTACAATGAAGGCGGGGCTTTGAAGACACAGGTAACAAGATTTGCAAGACCTTCAAGCCAAGAAAGAGCATAGCATTTTTAGAAATCATAAGTATTTCATTATGTTTGCAGTGAGTTAGAGGGAATGGCAAGGTAAAAAGCTAGAAAAGTAGGCTGAGGCTAGGGAGGTAGAAAGGTGCCATCATAAAAGGCCTAGTGTTAAATTAAGAAGAGTCTGAACTTTAGTTTGGAAAGAGAAAGTGTATTCATCTTGACTGTTATATTCCCAGCACCTAGCAAAGTGTCTGACACATAGTGAGTAATCTGAAATAGGAATAGAGAGAAGGAAAGATAAGTACTTAGTTGATCATAGGAAACCACACAAGAATATTAATCAGAATAAACACAATCAAATCTATGTTGAAACCATTCTTTCAAACATTGCTGAGGTAAATACAGATCAGTACAACCACTTTGGAAAACAGCCTGGCATCATATACTAAGAGGTGAACATTTACACAATCCAGGCATTCCACAAGAGAAACTCTTGCTGTATACAGCAGGAGGCATGTATAAGAATGTTCACAGCACCATCATTCATAGTAATGAAAACCCTCAAAATAGAAGACCAGTAAACTATAGTATATTCACACAATGAAATATTACATAGTAATCAAAATTAATAAAGTATAATGACATGCAACAGGATGGACCTTCACAATAAGCTATTAAGAAAGCATTCCCAATAAAATACATACAGCACAAGTACCTCATAAATTTAAATACTATATATATATAAATGGTATTGTATCTAGGATCTGCTTCTAAATAATCTGCAGGTGGTGGAAAGGGACCTGAATAGACTAGCCAGGTACTGATGTTATAGATGGTAAGGACATAGGTATTCATATTTTTTTCTATTCTTATAAATGTTTTAAATTTCCCATAATAAAAAGTACTTCTTAGAAATATATGTAATGCAATAAAACTATATAAAAAGGGACATAGGGAAAGATGAACCTAGGAATCAGAAAGGTCATTACCATGGGTAGGGGCAGGCAGTGGGTGAACTGGGGAGCGCTTATTACATTACTAAAACTTACTGAGAAAATAAATAAAAATGGGCTACAAATGGATCATTGAAGATGATGTCATAAGCTAAGGGTTATGATTTATCAAATTCTGTACATCAGAGGCATAATTAAAAATGTTAATAACACATATTTTCTTATAAAAAAAACATACTCTGATTATTCAGCCATTAAAAAAAAAAAGAAACCCTGCTGCTTGTGACAACACGGATGGACCTATAGGATGTTATGCTAAGTGTGATAAGCCAGGCAGAGAAAGACAAATACCATATAACCTCACTTACTTGTGGAATATAAAAAAAATGAATTAAAATAGCAGTAGACTCAGAAACACCGAGGAATGACTGGTGGTTACCATGGGGGAGGGATTGGCATGGGTGGGGGTGGGAGAGTTAGGGGAATAAAGACACACAAAAATTCCCAATCACAAATAAGTTGGTCATGGGGATGGAAGTGCAGCATGGAGAATAATCAGTGGTTCTGTAACATCTTCCTATGCTGAGAGATAGTAACCACTAGTGGGGGCGAGGATTTAATAATATGGGAAACTGTTGAATTGCTGTGTTGTTTATTTGAAATCAATGTAAGATTGTGTATCAATGGTACTTCAATAAAAAAAAATTATTCTAATAGTAATGTGGAAAGGCTGAAGTAAAGAGACCAGGTAGAAAACTAGTACAGTAATTTAGGTGAAAAATAAAAAGAACCTGAATTCAGGCAACAGCTATAAAGAAAAGGTGATAAAGGTGATAGGTTTTGAGATTTATAAGAATCATCAGTATTGGGTACTGGGGAATTTAATATCACCTGGCAATCATACATTTTTTAAAAACAGCTTCCTTTCCATAATGGCCATTTGTAACTTTCCTAGTCTGTATACCTCAGAACCACTTTCCCTCTGCCCCTTACTCTGCACCCCTGCATTCTATGGGCGTGACACTTCATCAGTTCCTCACCTGCATCAGCACCTGCCCCTTACTGCTCCCTTTTCTCCTCCCTCAATCCTCTATGCTCAGGAACCCACCCCCTCCTCCTCCTCAAGCTGATATTATCAGTTCTTTCCTGCCCTTCACCCTCTCTATTGGCTCCCTCCTATCACCAGGCCTGAATCCCACTTCCCCAACCCCAGCTTCATCCACCTCTCCTGCTACTACTAAACTCTTAGTACAGCTCGCAATTGAACAACACAAGTTTGAACTACACGGGTTTTTTTCAATAAATACACCATAAATTTTTTTTGGAGATCTGCGACAATCTGAAAAAACATTCTTTTCTTTAGCTAACTTTACTAGAAGAAGATAGTATATAACACATATAACATACAAAATATGCACTGACTGGTTGTTTATGTTATTGGTAAGGCTTCTGGTCAACAGAAGGCTATTAGTTAAGTTCTGGGGACATCACAACTTACACGCAGGTTTTCAACTGCACAGCGTTGTTCAAGATCAGCTGTAGTTTTCCACATTCATGGCATCTATTCCCACTGTCCAGCTGTTCCTCAAGTCATATTACTTTGGCTTCAACACCTGCAGCTCCACTGACACAGCTCTCCATCCACGAGAAAATCCATCTTTCTCGTCCTCTCTACTGAATGTGTCAGAGGACTCCCACCCCTTCTCATAACATTCTGTTCCGTTTTTTTCCTGACACCAGGTTTTCTTGTCTCTGTCACTCTTTCCTACTCACCTTGCCACTCAACCTTAAACTGCTCTGTTTTCTAAGGGCTCCTCCTAACCTGCAGGGCTGCATCTTAAAGGCTTTTCTTTCTCTATCCATACCATCTACCTAAGCAATTTCAAGCGCTCCCTGACTTCAACTTCTCTACACGACTACTACTTTTGAATGTTTACCTCAGCTCAGATTGGCTCCTCTGGGACCAAGTACCACATATGCAAAACCACTGACCTCAAAACCTCGTGGATGGCTTGCGAGCACTTCTAAGTCAGCATATCCAAAAGCAAACTTCTCCCTAAATCCATTCTCCAACATTTTTCATCCCACCAGCCACCCACTCCTGTGTCAGATCTCTGGCATCTCCCTCAACTCCCCCATCCACTGAGTCAGTTCTTTTTCAAGTTTTCTCAAATGTATTCACTTTTGTCCATCTCCATTGCTGCCACCTAATCCAGACACCTCTTTCCCTAAACTGTTATAACACTGTTGCTCTCCTTATATATTCATACTGTTCTATTTATTCTCCATAGAGCAGCCAAGAGTCTTTAAAGAAAAAAAAATCCTCAATCTTTCCATGAGACTTCCATGTTTAAAATCCTTCCATAGTTACCCTTTGCCTTTCACATAAAGACCCAAATCCTAAGCCCAGGCCCCAGGGCCCTGCAAGGTGAGGTCTCTTCTTCCTCTTCAGCACCATCTCCATCCCCCTTTGCCAAATTCCAGGAGCACAGGTCTTCTTTCCATTCCTCCAATATATAAAGCTCCTTCACTACTCGGGGTCTTCGGACCCTAAGGTTCCCCTGCCTTCACCACTTTCCTTCCATGTCTTCAACCTGACTCACTTCTATGGGCCCCAGTTTAAAGGTCACCAGCTCAGGGAGGACTTCTTCACTTCCACCCCCATCCCAAGGCTAAATCAGGGCCTTTCTGTTTTCAGTGCACTCTGTGCTTTCTAACGAAGCAATTATTAAACCATTCAGGTGATTATTTGCTTAATGTCTGGTGCTTCAAAGATTTATAATCTCTTTAGTCTAGTGATCATGACTTTCTTTGGCATTTGTGGCTAAGGAATGGCTAATGTGCATAATAACAGCTAACACTCTTAACCACTCATTACATCCAGGCATTTTTCAAGCACTTACACGTATCAACTCATTTCATCCTCCCAAAACATCCTGAGCAAGGTACTTTATAGACAAGAAACTGTGGTAAAAAGATGTTAGGTCACTTGCCTGGTCACAGGGTAAGTTGTGGAGTTGGAATCTAAGCCAAACATCAGATTCACATTTTCAACCACTACTCTGTCCCGCCACATACTGACACTCAAATGTCTGATAAATAAACAGATAGATAAATCTAAGAACTGGAGATGGAAGCAGTCTCAACTTCATCCTCTGATCCCACTACTATTACCATAGTCTAAAACGAAGGTCTTGCCTTGTAATGAAATGACCCTGAGAGTTTCTTATCAGATTACACAATTTCTCTTTCTTCTCCAGGCGCAAGTTCCTAGATGGTTCTTTCAAAAGTACCTTCCTTACCCTACTCGTCAGCTATGCAACAACCAGCAATGACCCTTGCAACCTATGGAGTTACTTGGATTTCAAAAACTTCTCCATAATGATGACCTTTTTTACCATCAGGCCCACTGTCTCCACTTTACCCACTCATCCCCAACTCACAGTCACATATATGAATTATGTCTTTACACATACTGTTCTCTCTCATCCTCTTACTCTAAATCAAATCTCACCCATTCTTCAAGAGTCTGCTCAAGTAGCCTGAAAGCCACTGAGAAGTAATATAGCCAACGCTTCTCTAAACTCTTGTGTCACTCAAGTTAGTAGCATGTACTCCTGTACCTTGTTTTGTTGTTTTCTAAGCTCTTTGAAGACTTGGCTTCTATTTCTTTTCAATCCCCACAAATTTCCAGTATATAACTGAGTACATCAATAAAAAGAGCTCAGTATCGTCTTGCTAACTGATAAACGAAAGAAGGAAATAAGTAGTGTGAGATCCTAGTTTCTATCCCATCCAGAAAAAACAAACAAATTCAGGCTCAAAATACATTTTGGAGAGGGGATAAGGCATGGAAAGCAATGGCGAGGAAGCCTGGACTGAGAAACAGAGGGAGCAGAAGCAGACCGCTCAGAGGTGAGAGCCACCACGACTCGTAAAGACAAAGCAGCAGATGTTCTTCCAGCAGCTCAGCCAGGTTAGTTTCATATCCATCTAAATGCAGGATTCCCTCAACCATCCCTTATCTTTCAGAGACCGTACTGCCTGCCATCAGAGGGAATTAAGGCTTCCTGAATAAAACTGGGCCCTGGAGGGCTAAAAGAAGAGCAAGAAAATCTGCCCGTATTGAGAATATGGCTTCCAGATTCACAGGGCTCGTTTCAGTTGAAGCTACTTCCCTTCCTAACTCAAAAGCTGTAAGAGATCTGAATTCTACAGAAATTAAGAAAAAGGAAAACCAAAGAAAGCGCCCTGAAAAGCAGCACAGGCGTAGAAGGGCAGGCCCTAGCTCATGCCATTCCTTTTAACCCCAGTGCCCACCCACAGGTCAGGTGGTTACCACTGACCTGATCTGTATCTGTATGAACTCCGGGAGACTGAGCGGATGGTACCTCCTGCTGGACTGCAGCCACTGCCCCGTTAGGCATCAGGATGAGCTGGGAGGCTAGAGGCACATTCCGGCCCAGGGTCCGGTTTACCTGCAACAGGTTTCCCAGCTGTGGCTGGCGAGAGGAGGAAGAGGAAGAACAGAGGAAGGAGAACAAGAAAAGCAGACAGACAGAAGAAATGGAAGGGAAGGACCACAAGACAAAATAAACAAGATACGAAACAGCTAAGCCCTACCCCTTTCCACACCAACCCAGGAGACCCTTAGTCTTCCTATGTGATGACTAATCCAGAATAAAACCTAGAATGTGTATATAAAACTACAGACTGATAACAAGAGTCCAATAACAAAGAAATTGAGACAATAAGGATGAAGAACAAGTATTTATGTATAGTAAGTAGATAGGCTAAGAGTTAAGGCAGAATTTGTGTACTTGAGCCACAGGTTTAAGGAGTAGACTGCATGTGACACTACTTTAGTCAAATGTGAAAGTGAACATCTTCTAACTTGAGCTCTCAATATAATCCTCAGCATCACTTCTAGAGGGAAGTAGGACATAGGAAGTAGACTGGCTTGTCTTAAATAAAAATAAAATACCTGGGTAACCATGGTTAAATACAACAGCTTTCACGCCAGTCCTTGCAGGGACAGAACAATTACACCCTTGGGACAATGGTGATTGTGTCTGTGGCTTACCCGTAGATACATCTGGGCCTGGGACTGGTTGAGGGGTGGGGAGGTGGTGTTCCCCAGTAGCACAGACTGAGTCAAGGTGGTAGCACTGGGAGAGCTCACACTCTGGGATCGGCTGATGAGCTGGGCGGCCGACGTGGTGGCCAGATTGATCTGTGAGGTATAGAAAGGAACCAGGACTAAGGCTTTGGGAGACATAAGAAAATGTACATGACAGACAAATTCAGAAAGCCATGGTCAAGAAAAGAGTATCTCATTTTCAGAGTTAAGTGACAATGAGTAATACCTTCCTAGCCATAACTGCCACCCTGGCTACTGCGGGATATCACCCAAGGAGCCAGTCCCTAAAACAGCAGCTGAGAAGGCAAAGGAACGAAATGGAACAGAGTTTACTTCTCATTGAAGGGTCCAGAGATTAGTCCCTTTCCTTTGTTATCATTTCTTCTACTTCAGGATTTTCTCCCTCCTTCCTTAGACCTCTTCATTAAGATTCTTATGTAGATCCAAGTTGGTTACTTTCCCTTTCACTATTATTCTCTACACTGGAGCAGTAAATACTACTGGGGCTCAATAAACACTTTCAGCTCAGCTGCACAATGTAGTTTAACCCAGAGTCAGAGACCCAGGGAGAGAAGCCTCTCGGGGGAAGAAAGCAGTACTCACTGAGGCCTGGGTGGTGGGAGTCTGCGGCGGGGCAGTGCTGGTGTTCGGGGAGCTGGCCTGCCGACTGGCTGCAATTGTGGCCTGTCACAGGAAAATGGAAACAAGTCCAGAGACAACAAAGAAAAGCTCTGAATCTTCCAGTAATAAATCACAAGCCCAAAACATAATAAAAGATTTCAGGTAGGAACCGAGACTACTATAGAGCAAGGAAAAGTATATTCACTGTCCCAGTAACCTTCACACTACATATGTCAACCCAGTAACTCTCACACAACTCTCCTGGGACAGAAAGACAACCTGCCTGCCCCATCCTCCTCCCACTTTCTTTTAGGGAGTAGAACCTTTGGTCAGGTCACATCACGAGTCACTGATAAGCCTACAGAGAGCTGTCCAACACAAATATAAAGTAAACCACATATAATTTTCTAGTATGTACATGTTTTTAAAAGTGAAAAGAAACAGCACAAATCAACTTTAATATCTTATTTAAGCCAATATATCTCCATTTCAACATGTAACCAATATAAGCAAACTAGTGAGATAACTTACATTATTTTCCTCAAACTAAGTCTTTGGAAGCCAAAATCTTATTGCACACCTCAATTTGGACTAGCCACATTTTAAGCACACAATAGCTACATGTACCTAGTGGCTACCATATTGGACAGTGCAGGTCTAGAATATAGTCATTCTACCTCTAAAAGGTAGCTCTCCCACAATTCCTACTACAACCCCAGAAACCAAGACACACTCATCCTCCTACAGGACACAGGCAGAGGACTCTGTTTCCAGCCTGGCTGAGTGGAGGATGCGGTGCACCCCTACCCACCTGTGATGCCTCTCCCCTCCCTCTCGGACCAGCTGGCTGCTGACCTCTCACCTGCTGGACAGCAGCCAGGCTATGCAGCTGGGCATTGCTGAGCTGCTGCTGGAGCATGAACTGGTGGAAATACTGAGCTGCATTGGGCTGACGCTGCAGTGCCTGAAGAGCCTAGGAGGAGAAAAAGAGGGTCAACCCACTTAGAAAGAAGCACTCCCAACTTCTACCCTATGCGAATTGCTGTGCCCTCATGAAAGGGACATATGGGAAGGAGAGAAGCACAGGAAGACAGGAGTCTGGCTAAATCATCAACAGCTGAATTTTCTGTTTTTATTTTAGAGCGGTAAGTTCATAGTGTCCTCAAAAAGTGGAGAAGCAATTAATTTGCTATGATCTATTCTTATTTATAAAGAGAAGTAAAGCAGTGTAATGCACATGACCTTTTATTTCCCCAAAATGGAATCTGGAAACACATGATAGAGCAAGAAAAAGAGCTGGGACTAGACAAGTTGAAAATAAATGGGATGGCAATTGATGTAAAAAGAGGAAAATAAAATACAATACGTACAATAAAGGTGATAGCCCTAAGGGGTTGAAAATGATGAAAAATATAGTAAATAGTAGCTCATGAAGATTCTGGCAGGTAAAATTTTCAAATAACTGGCATTCCCAAATCTTTAAAACATAATGCTGGTAGATATTTATAAAGATGATTCTGGTAATTCAGTTTTGGTTATAACTTTAGGATACTACTGCATTTTTATTCTTTAACAATTAGAACTATTCTTATGATATGCATAATTATTCTAATCACCAAAACATCTTAAGTAAAAGGCCCATTCCCAAGCAGATTTTTTAAAGAAAGGAATTTACTAACTAAACTCTTTAAAGGGTCTCACACTTCCATTACTCGGGATAATTTTCAAGAAAAATCAGTTTAAAAACCTGACAAACCATAAACAGGAATAGCTAGTGAGAATCTAGCTAACTGAACTGAATGGTACAAAAAACCTTAGTTTAAAAACTGAACCTCATTCTCTGTTTGCTTGTTCAAGCTGTCATCACCTCCTAAGATTATCATCAGAGCAGGAAGGGACCTTAGTCATTACCTAAGCCCACTCCCCCAGTTTGCTGGAGGAGAACTAAGGCCAAGTACCTTCCAGCATCCTGCCTTCCTCAAGCTCATCCTCATGGTCACAACCCCTCAGCGCGGAGCCTCACCTGCACCGCTTGGCGTTCATACAGCGACATTTGCGCTATCTGCGGCCGAGAGCTGCCCCCGGAGCTGGAACTCCCATTGGTGGAGCTGGAGTTCTGCTCACTCTCAGTCTCCATCACAGTGGTCCAGGGTCCCCAAGGCTGGACCTCTGACTCAAGACCTAGATGCAAGTAGCAAAGGATTAACATTTATACTTGATTCCAAGCTATTATTTCATGTTATTACTCAAGTCATATATAAGCCTTTCCCTCTTCCCTAAATCATGGTGTCTTGGGCTCTATGACTACCAAGTCTGCAGGACACTCTTACAACCTTACAACCTTAGCTTCCCTGTGACATCTTTGAGCTATATAGTACTTTGAAAGAAACCACCTTTACATATTCCCTCATGGTTCTCATTGAACATAAAATTACCAGAATGTAAGACTAATTATACTAAGACCACTTTACATCCCCATAATAAAACTTAAATAGTTTAAAATCTTCCCACTTAAAACTTACTGTTAATCTCATTTTTATCAGAATCTGCATCACTGTTATCAGCAACATTTTAACAATGGCCACCATTTACTGAGAAGCCATAAGTGCCTTCAATCAGTGGGCTGGGCTCTTCACTGCCATTATATCTCACAGGGCTTTAAGGTAAATATGCTTACCCTCACTTTACAATGGTGATGAGGTTTTCTGAGGTTAAGGAACTGTCCTAGTAAGTATCAAGTGTTTACACTAGTACATGCTCTTTTTCTAACCAAAAAAATAAAATCTGTGATTAAGGCAGTGTCACTCAGTTTGAGTACTCATTGTCCTCATTTTATGGAGGAGGAGTTTAAGATACAGATATGTTAATACATTGTGCAAAGTCATAAAAACTAGGAGGTAGAAGAGCTAGGTAGGCTACAGCCCATATTGCTCAAATAGCTGCCTGGTTCCTGCTCAGGTGACTAACAGTACCTTAGGCATGTCATTTCCCCTTCTTGTATTTGCAAAGAAGGCCTCACAACTGAATGTGATATATCATTTCAACAAATGACTCCCAGGTATTAAACATACTAATATACAGCAATGAAAGCTTTCATTGCTGTAATGAAGATTTTTTAGTCCACTTAAGCGGTCAGAATTTACCCTCTGGGGTCTACATTAAAATCTTCAAAAAAGCATAGGAAAACATTGCTAAGAACCAAGCAAAGAGACAGGAGATGAGAAGAAGAAATACACCTCCAGAGCAGCACTAACTGACGATAAGGGGTATTTCATTGTTGTTCACTCTTACTTTTTTTCTCTTTTGCAAAACCTAGACATTATATTCTCTGCTTTTGACGCTCGGGGCCACTAGAAATATCAAGTGTAAAAAGCACTATTGGCTTAGGAATGTAAACATTAAACCAGAATTTCTGCTAAGGGCTGTCAACAGTTGGATGCTTAATGATTGCATCCAAACCAAACGGTAAATAAAAACAAACCACTTAGCCATGGAAACAGAGTTAGGGAGATTTCTTATTATTCCATTCCCAGTATCATCTGATCATATCATTATCCCACAAGAACTCTACCCATCGCCACAGTTTCATTCAGGAATAGAAATGTCACTGCAAACATGGATATAACACAAGAGGTACACAGGAGAAATCTTATCAGCTTCAACTCTATCTTCTCCCCACATCTTTTGCCAAAATATCAAAGCACTAAACAGATACAGACCCATGAATCCTCATTATCAGCATGTGAAGAAAAAAAGTGGGTAAGGATTAGAGCAGCATGGCACAGTTGTATAGATCACTGGACCCAGAAACATGAGCCCCCTTTACTAACTAGAGGGAACATTAATTCCTACATTCCTAAGTGAAAATGCTAATAAACTGTACGATCCCTCATCTCCCCAAAAATGGAAGTCTTGACTTTGTTTTTTTTCAGATTGTGAAATGGAAATACAGATGGAAAGGGAACAGGTTCAAGTCTTTCATAAAATCAGGGGAGACTGTCATCAAAACCACGATCCCTGGATCCCAGGCACACAAAGCTATTCATTTGTAATCAATAGGACTGTAAATTTAAATACAGAAAAATGAAGTTTACTAGAAAGCACAGTGAATGTAAATTTTCAGAATTCAACTGGAAGAGAGTTGACAAGTTGACCCATAAAGGTTCCCAGAACAGCTAAAGCAGGGTCATCCTGAAAGGTAGGATTTGGGTGTGTGTGGGTTGGGTAGGAGGAGCGCAGACCTCCAGAAGGGAGCTACAAAAGGGCATTATAGTGGATCTAATACTGGGCCTGTTGAGTCAAGAGTTAGAGGAAATCAATTTCCCTAGGCGTAAAACTCTGTCTGGTAGAAACGACGGGACATGTGAAGGGGGTTGTCCGGGGAAGACTGTGCCAAAGAAATGGAAGTAACGTGGAGAATAGGGATAGCAGACGCCCAGGATTTCTCGTTGCACACAGAACCTTGATGAAAATGTGGTTCCGAAGAGAAATAAATACCCCGGGGGAAGGAGCAGGTAAGAGTGGTGCCAGGAGCGAGCTTACCCAAGTGAGCGCGGAGATGTGCTGAGGGCGGGGAGTCAGGCAGGAGAGAGACAGAAGTCAGGAATGAAGTCGGGAGGCTGAGGAACCCAGCGGACCATAAAAAGCAGGGAGGTGACTAGACGGCATGCTTGGATGGGAGAATCAAAGTCAGAGGAGGAAAAATGAATGAGAAAATGAGCCGTCAGGAGCAACTCGGGTGACAGCGCTCAGCACAGCGAAATGAATTAGCAAGAAGGCTTGGACAGGCAGCGCGGAAGGACCGCAGAGCGAAGCGCTGGAGGTAGGCAGGGGGAGAAACCGGGGGAGGTACCTGGGGCGTTTCGCGGACGGAGGTGGCTGCAGAAACATCCCCGCGCAGCCAAGCCCCCGGGGCGCCTGCCCCTCCCCGGCCCGCCGCCGCCCGGTTACCTTCGCGCCTGGCTCTGCACCCGCGAGCTCCGGGGGCGCGTCCGCCTCATGGGCCGGGGTCCCCAGTCGCCAGGCCGGGCGGGGGGCTCGCTCGGCCTCCGCGGCGGGCTCCCCGCGCCTCCTCCCCTTCCTGGAGGGGCGGGGGCGCCGAGGGCGGGGTGGGAGGTGCCCGGCGCGGCCGCGGCTCCCCGCCCCTCCCGCCGCTCCGGGTGCGGGCCCGGCCGCGGCTCTGCCAGGCCTCCGGGGCGCGCCGCGGGCCTGTCACTTCCTGCCGGGCCGAGCGGGTGGGGGCTGCAGGCCGGGGGCTGCGGGCCGGGCCGGAGGAGGGGGCTGGCGGGGAGGTGCTTCCGGGGCAGCGGGACCCCTCCCCGCCCCTCCCGCCCCCTGCGCCCTCCTCCCCTCCCTCGCGCGCGTCCCTCGTTTCCTGCCGGCGCCCGTTGCCATGACGACGCCGCTCCCGGGCCTCCGCGCTCTAAGCCCCGGGGTTTTTCCCCCTCTTGCTCTTTTTTGCTCTTTTTTCTCCTTCTTTCTCTCCGAGTCCCGCTCGCCGGTTGGAGGGACGAACTTCAGAAAGTGCTGGCCTCTAGTGGGGAGCTCACCTCTCACGGAGGAGAGGGAGATGGGAGAAAGGGAGGGAAGTGACGTGAAGAGGGGAAAAGAAGGTATTTTCTGGAGCCCCTGGGAATAAGGGATAGAAAGAAAGGATCAAAGGGATCCACAGGCAGAGAGGGAGAGAGCAAAGCAGCGAGCCTGGAGCTCACCTCTCACGGAGGAGAGGGAGATGGGAGAAAGGGAGGGAAGTGACGTGAAGAGGGGAAAAGAAGGTATTTTCTGGAGCCCCTGGGAATAAGGGATAGAAAGAAAGGATCAAAGGGATCCACAGGCAGAGAGGGAGAGAGCAAAGCAGCGAGCCTAGAGAAACGGCAGAGTGGGAAAGGAAGCAAAGCCGAGGAAAGGAAAGAAGATGATTGAGGAAAAGGACCGAGCATCTTGATTGTTTAATCCCCCTCGTCAACTGCGAGAAGGCGGGAAAGAATGCTGCAGCGAAACAGGGAACCCACTAGGAGTTGGCATGCATTTCAAAGCAGCAACCTAGTGTAACTTGCTTTTTCGGGGATTTTGTGTACTTGTGTGTTCTTAAGATTTAGATGTGTAATGAAACGAGAACAACAAAAGGGGAAAGGCGGGGGTATGAGGAGAGTAAAACAATGGGCTATATTTGGGAAAGCTAAAATCTGATGAGGCAGGAACCTTTGTCATTTTATGTAGGACATCAGTTTATCAGTTTTTAATTCTCTTAGAACATTCAGCAAATACTTATAAGCACCCACTGTGTGCTGCCCCCCGTTTGAGAAGCTTGAATCATATTCAGTGCCTAGAACAAAGGTAACTGCCCTCATTAGCCTTTTACAGAGAGGTCGGAGGATACCTCGTGGATTGATAACTAAGGTTGATCTTTTTCTCCGATGTTACTGTAATCCAATAACTATTTTTACCTCGCGTCTTTTCCTAACCTCTATTCTACTTAGTTATTTTCTCTGTCAAGCCACTCTAAATTCTCTCCTTTAAAAGCCCAGGCATGATTTGTTTTTAGAGAAAAAAAATTAAGTGTTCTCTTTGTTTATAGATTAGGTCCTTTGGGGTTCGCATTGAGAAAAAAGTCTTTGGACTACACGCTCTTTATGTGTGGTAGCCAGATTTATGTCAGAGGAAAATATCTGCCAGGCTTCTAGGAACCAGTCAGACAAGTGTGTGAGGGAAGAACCCGGAGGGCAGCCAAAGGGCTGGAAATGCTGGGACATCAGGTGTGGGAAGGTGAAAGGGTGTGTTGCCAGGATGGATGACAGGCTTTGGCTGAGGATCAATTGAAAAGATTCTGGCAGAGAACTAGTGGTAAAAACTAGGTAAAGCCTTAGTCATTTAATTCAAGCCTAGATTTTTGGCATGTCAGAGAAGTTTAAAGCTTTCTTACCGAGACTTGGAATGATATATTGCGCCTAAGCTGAATACCCCCCAGCACTGATGAAAAAGTTGTATCTATAGATAATTTTCAGATCATATGACATTTAAAGAATCCAGGTGCCAGACTGTTTTTCCAGTAGCCTATGGAACTTGCATACGTAGCTAGTATATGGCAATTTCAGCCCATTAGAACTGGAGCAGAATCACTACTACTGCATATAGATAGATTCTACCGCGCTAAAGATTCTGTTGTGTTTCCTGGGTCAACAACCCCTACGTCTTCTAAAAGTTATACATTTAGGTGATGTTAGGGGATAAGATAGTGATGGTAAATAATTTTGTTGAACAATATAAATGTAGCCTAGGAACATTGTGTCACAGAATGTTTTGTGTCACAGTAGTTTAATTTTCTTAATGTAATGGCTTGTAGCCCATTTTTCCCAGTAATTCTTTTCAAGTTCATTTCCCTCCAAGACGGATCAGTCTTCCAGCGTCATAGATCTAAGCAGTGTTTTGAAGAAAAATTTCAGGTTAAAAAAAGGAATATATTAACAGTAAAATGAATACTTAGGAAAACCAGCATCCACGAGGAAATCATTGTCCTAGACTAACTCGGTTTGGGAACAGGTACTTAAGGACTTATCTCAATCTAAACAGAGCATAACAATGTGATCCCACAGAAAATCCTCAACTGACTTATTTTTTGCAGTTTTACTAAACTTTTCATTTTTATTTAATGATCCTCCTGGAATTGGTCTTTTCTTTTTCAAACCAAATAGTTCTTCTGAATGGAAGCTAAATAATTTCTTTACTCTGCATAACACTGAAAGCCATTAGCTTAAACAGGTGAAAAGGAAATGCATTCTATCTGGTGTATAGAAATCGAAGTACTCCCCCTGGCAAAGTTAATCTAAATAAGGAAAGATCAGGATTTGAAAGGAAACCAACTGTTCAGCAACAACTGAAACAAATCTAAGGTAGGCTAATATAATTTTGCATATCAATTGAGCATTGAATAAGCATGCTTCAAGCTTCTAAGCCCAGCATTGGTGCAATGAATTGTGATAGAAGAGATGGTCCTTAACCCAAAAGGTATTAGTATCCTTGGAATGTATCTATTTACAAGTGACCAAGCAAACAAGTGTGATCACATTTTTATGCAAACGTGAAAAGGATGAAATAGGGAAAAAACAGAAATAAACGTTTACATTAACCACCACCAATTGTGGAGGTGAACCACCACACACATCCCACCTGCATGCCTTAAATTCTAGGTGTGAGAAAGTGAAATGAAGATGAAGAGGATTTATAGACTCTTGGATTTTTAAAGCAAAGAAGAACTTTAAAATTATCCAAGTCCATCAATTTTCAGTGGAGAAAATTGAAGGCTAAAAGATGAATGGAGAAGAGGGATATTTCATAATCCCTGGCAAATAGAAGATGTCCCTACCAAATAAATTAACTGGCAGTTAAATATTAGTTAACTGAATTAATTTCCTAGATGCTTGAACTGAAAAAAATATATATGGAATTAAAAGATAAAAAAGATGTCTTTCATTCCTCCCCACTAATTCCCAGAATGGAGTTCAGGACACATTGTCCCAGTATATGACACCTTGGCATATTGAATAGTTTAAACTGAAGGAGTTTGAGAAAACTGCAGAAGCAGGAAAGTCACTCTGATGTCCTCCTCCCCTCTCCCTTCTTCCCTAAAACAAGTTATAAAACCCTTCTGTGAGTTTCCCTGGGAGGAAAGTGGCATCCTTATCCTCTAGGACAAAGGAACACCAAGAGGAACCCTAACAGGTCTTTCTCAGTTTCCCCAGTTTTCTGTAATTACCTCATACTCCTTGATCTGTGATATCCCTCCTCAACTGCCTGCTCTTCATCAAACCTAGCAGAAACATAGTCAGGTCCGTTTCTTTGGCCCCTATTTCCTTATAAAGACTCCCACCTGGCCAGTAAATCGAAATTTAGATAACTGCTGTGTCCCTGTAGATGCTCCAGTTGACCAGAAAGCCAACATAACCAGTCAACCGACCCCCAGACACCAGGCCAGTTTGGGGCTCTATAGTTACTTCCTTGTTCTTTATTCTTTATCTTATAAAAGTTCTCTGCATCCTGCCCCATTTTGCAGTTCTCCAAATGTCTGTCAGTTACATAAAGTACTAAATAAAGATTGTTTGTATCACTTAAATTGTCTTCTCTAATCTTTTTTTTTAAACGTTATGTATGCTTTTCTCCTGTTAATGTCTTTGTCAGTTTAATTTTTACAGTCATTGGCCTGAAGAGGCTAAGGACAGCCTCTTCCTCACCTGCACCCACCATACTCACTTTCTTTAGAGTAGACGTTTGAAATTACCATATTGATTGGTTCAGCTTAATATTTCACCCACTGTTGCCCTTGAAAAAAGCAGATGTACTCCCACATCCTTGAGTAGCATAAAGTTGACAATAACTTATGCTTTACCAGTTTAGACAGTTACCATGTGATTAAGAACAAATTACATACCTTCTCCCTGCCTTGGGTTTCTTTCTGTAAGTTTCCCTGGAAGGAAGTAACACCTAGTAGTTGTTGGGAATAAATGAAATGTTTTGAAGTATTTCATGCAGTGTCTGACCCATCGTATGAGCTATTATTCTTAGTTTCCCTTAGTAACCCAATGTATTTTTGTCCTTGCCAAATGCATCTAAAAGCACTCTTTATGTTTTATTCATCCTACATCACAACTTTAATTAACTCACAATTTAGTTAATGAGCTTATGAGTCAGTTTAGTTACTGAATTTACTGTCAAGGAGGAAAAACTTTTCCTCCACTCTTTTAGATTAATGGGGGCCCATGAAATAAACTAACAAAAGACAGATTAACAGGAGAAGAGTTACACAAGTTTTATTAATAGTATCTGTATGGGGGTTCCCAGAAAAAAAGTAAAACTCAGAGAAGCAGCTTGGAAGCTCATATGCACTTCTTAACAATGGAAAGAGGGTCAGCCCTTCCAAGGAGAGTAAACTCCAGGGAGCTGCTCTTTCCTCCCTCATCTCAGAGCTGGACGGATGCAGAGGGGATCTTTCCTCACAGGGAAACTTGTTAGGCAGCAAACTCTCCCTGTTAATTAATCTATTGATTAATTAATTGGTTAATTCTTAATCCTGTTAATTAATCATCCTATTAATTTTTAATCTGTTAATTCTCAAAATAATCCTTATGCAAAAGTGGTATACTTTGGGGTGGCATATTCTAATCCCCTTCATTACTGTCATTTTATATGAAAAGAGTATTCCCTGACCTGTGTACAAAAAGCCTCTTTTCGGCTTCAAGTATGTCTTCTAGTCTTCTTTTCCAGGATTTGGGTACAAATGCATGTTGAGACTAAGCACTAGATTTATAACCCTCCAGGGCTACGTGCCCTATAGGCCAAAGAGCTAAGAGCTTGGGAAGAAGTCTAAAGGGAAAAAACAATTCAAAATATACTTAGAACCTCTGTTCATGGCTTTATGTACATTATTGCATTCCACTTTAGCATTAATCTTTCCTGCTAGCTATTACTAATCCTTAATTTACAGATGAGGAAATTAAAGCTAAGAAAGGTTAGATAAATTGCTCAAAGTTCATGGGAGTACTAAGTAATAGAGTCAGAATTTAAATTCAGGTCTGTCTGACTCCAAAGCTCATAGCTACATCACATCTTTCACAGGGTGAAAATAGAATAGTATAAAAGATCTATTTAAAATGCTTAGCACACACATAAATGTTTGCACAAAAATACTTGGTATTTGCCACTGTAAAGCCATGCAATGGAAAGCCCACTCTGTGTTTGTTAATACGGAAATAACTCTGGATATCATTTCCACAGAAATACTTGGGAGTTATATATATATATATATATAATTTCCCCAAATTCTCTGTTTTCTCTCCTGTCTGCTTATAAACTATGGCAAGCAGATAATGGCCCCAAAGATATCCTCATCCATGAAACCTGTGAATGTGTTATGGCTGTGGAAAAGGTGAATTAAAGTTCAGATGGAATTAAGGTCACTAATTAGTAAATATATACCATGGAATATTATTCAGCCATAAAAAAGAAAGAAGTCTAGCCACGTGCAACATGGATGGACCTAGAGGATATTATAAGTGAAATAAGCCACCAGAGAAAGACAAATACCATATGATTGCACTCATCTGTAGGATCTAAAAAACAAAACCAGACAAATGAACAAAACAGAAGCAGACTCATAGACACTGAGAAGTGACCAGGGGGTTACCATGGGGGAGGGGTTGGGGTGGTTGAAATAGGTGAAGGGGATACAGAGGCACAAAATTTCAATCATGGTTAAGTTAGTCATAGGGAGAAAGTACAGCCTAGAGAATAAAGTCAATAATTCTGTAACATTTTTCTGTGTTGACAGTAACTACTCTATCTGGGGTGGGCATTTAATAATGTAGTTAACTGTCCAATCACTACGTTGCACACTTTAAACATGTATAATATTGTATGTCAACTATACTTCAATTTAACAAGAAAAGAAGGTTGCTAATCAGATGAGCTGAAAATAGGGAGATTATTCTGGATTATCTGGATGAGCCAAATATAATCTCAAGAGTCCTTGGAAGTGTGCATGGGAAGCAGAAGAGGCAGGCTGAGTTATGCAGTGTGAGGAGGATCCTGCCATTGCTGGCTTGAAAATGGAAGGGGACAGTGGGGAACTGAGCAATGTGGGGGGCCTCTAGAAACTGGGGGAAAAAGGAAATGGGTTCTCTCCTAGAATCTCCAGTAAAGAGCTCAGCCCTGAAAACACCTTGATTTCACCTAGTGAGATGTATGTTGCACTTTCTGATCTACAGAACTGTAGATAATAAATCTACATTGTTTTAAACCACTAATTTGTGGTGAACTGTTACAGCAGCAATAGAAAACTAACATATAAGCTAACAAAAAGCAGCTAATTTTAGACCTTTCCTGTTGCCAAAGTCCAGCCAATTGCCAACTTCATTAATCCTTTGTTTGCTAACAATAGAATTTATGGTATCACATGCTTGAACTAATCGATGAGTAAATGCTCAGGAGTCCTTTTGAGTGGCAGCTTTTCAGTTCCCTAAAAATGATATTAAAGTATAATTTTCAAAATGGGAGAATTATAACTCTCACACAAATATAAAATGAACATGTGCCAAAGATTTATGTAACTTGTTAATGAATGAAAGAACCAGCGAGACACTAAGGTCAGTTCAAAGTGCATTTGAGAAGCTGGATATTTACAGGCCATTTAATAAAGGAATGTGAGAGAAGACTGCTGGGTTGCATACAGAACTGGTTTATGTCCTATTGGTGCCCTGTTCTTCATGTTCTCTCCTGTGATTAAGAGTTTTTCCCTTTTCCTGGTTTGGGAAAGGGGCAGGGGACACCACCACAAGGGAAAATTTATGCCCTGATTTTAGGCAGATAGGGGGAGAGATCTTTTCTTGCTTCTGCTGTTTCTCAGTTAGCTTTGGCTCAAGACAATTCTTACACAAAATGGGCATATTTTGGGGTGGCATGTTCTGATACCCTTCAAATGTATCACTTACAAAACTTGAATTCATATACTTGATTCTGTAATTCTTTATGCAAACATAACACCTCACAGAGAACCAGTATTTCCTATGATTTAATAATTTATTTTGTTCAAGGTATTGTGCTAGACACCACAGACATACTAAGATGAACAAAAATACTCATTTTTTTCACAGCACTTAATATAATTAAGGAACAAAATCATGTATACATGTTGTTTAAGTCTGGTATTATGATTAAGAGCATGGTCCTGGGCATAGAACATAACCTCTGCTAGTCTCATTTTCCTTGTCTGTAAAAGGATGGTCCTACCTACCTTTCAGGGTTGTTGTGAGAATTTTGTGAGTAATGCACAGAAATAATTTACCCATCATTATCTTTGGTAAGCATTCAGTAAATATTGATTGTTATTATTAATTAACTAGACTGTAAGGCAGACTGAAGATCCTACATACTGAAGGGTATCAGCGTTCTCACCTGGTCTCCGAAAGAGCTGTCCTTCCTATGAAAAAGAGAAAAATATTTGGATACGGTTCGGTAAGAATATGAAGGAATCAGAAGGAATATTTTTAAGCATATTATCTCTTGATCAGATTGGTCAAATGACAACCTTAACAGTTATTTACATGAACAATGTCAGATGTTTTTTACTTTTTATCCATTTAATCTTCACCTTGATCCTGAGAGGTCGTCATTAAAATGTCTGGTCTAGATCTGGGGGCTGTTGATGAGCCTGTACTCAAGCTCTGCCTCTGACCCGGCTTTCGGAGCACCCAGATCCAGGGAGGAACCACTGCAAGTAAGCAGCACCTTCCCCACTTACTGGCCCTTCTCTCCCTCAGGACCGGGGCCCAAATCACGTCAGCAGTCTTTGGGTTGTAAGCCTCTTAGACTGCTTGTGCCAAAAGGTGAACCAAAGAGTGAACTCAAGAAATCTCCCCAAATGTCTACTCTTTAAATGTAAATGAGTGCAATATCTCCTTTGTGTCACCCTGACATTTTAAGTATAAAATATCAATTGGAAAAAACTTCAAATCAAAAGTTATACATTCTAGAAGAAGAAATTGGAAAAATTTTAAAGCTTTGAGAGTTAAGTCAATCCCATAGAAGTAAGATACCTTGCAGCAGAAAGTAATACATATGTATATATATTAATATGTAATTATATATATATATATATTAGCATGTATTATGTTTTCAACACTGCCAGGCAATGTAAGAGATATAGAAGAACTATAAAACATTGTTCCTATTCTCAAAAAGCTTGTAATGTAGTAGGGTAGAAGAAAATTTCTAATCTAAATTGACACAGCTAACCAACACATACACATTTTTCTTCATAGAAAATACTAAAACTGTATGTATGACACATCTCTGAGCAGTGAGTGGAAGAAAAGAGGAAACCTAATGTGGGACTACATGACTTCACATGTGATATCTTATTTCATCCTCTCAAGCATTCATTGAATTAAGGACTATTTTCTCCATTTTTATAGATGAGGTTACCAAAACTGATATGCTAAATGACTTGTCCACAATAAGATATATATTAGAAGGGTGACTAAAACTTTAATACCAAGTTCTAAATCTCTTACAGTTCTTATCATATTGAGGTGACCTTGAAGACTTATGACAAGTGGTCCAGATCTTTCTCCTCTGGGCATATGGTAAGACTGTACCTCCCTACCCACCTGAAATTACGTATGGCCATGTAACCTGCTCTGGCCACTGAAATGTGAGTGGGTATGATGTGCATCACTTCTGGCCAGAAGCCTCAAGAGCCAGTGCACACCATTAACCATGTTCTCTCTTTTCCTGTGCCACATGGTACAAAATATGCAACGAAGCAGATACTCCATCACCTCGGGTCCTGTAATGAAGACAACAGGGAGCACAGGCCCTATTCAACCCTCAATGGACATGTAGAATAAGGAATAAATGTTTTTATTTCAAGAACTAAACACCGAGTTTGCTTTAACCTGACCAATCCTGACCCATTGGTACTAGGAATAATATTTAGGTCCTAAAATACATAACTAGTTCAAGGACCAGTCAGCAGGTGGTGAGGAAATTTAGTGGAGACTGAAAGTCTGGGACAATCTGTTATTTTTCATCTAATAACTTGAAAGTCACATAATGCATTTGATCTTATAGCTCTAGAAAAAGTTGAAAAGTAGAATATCAGTAGCATGTATGGGTTACTGCTTTTGACTGAATTTGACAAGGTACTACAAGAGATGGAGTTTCCAATTAGAAGTAAGAGGGAAAAGAGAGTCCAGAGATATGGGGGTTTATAGGATTGGACGAGTTAGCTGCGTGGAAAAGTTTAGGTAATAAAAGCTAATCAGACCTTAGCTTTGTGGCAAGGACCAAATCAAGGCGTGGTAGTCACATCTGTTGTCCAAGCCTCAGAATGGGTTCATTTATGGCCCAGAAAATTGTTTGAGTTGGAAAAGATAGCTTAGGGCATAACTCTCCCACCACAGTTTAATGGGCCTGCTGTGCCCACAGCTAAACTGAGAAAGAAAGACAGAATTATTGGTATGGCTACGGACACATGGAGCTGACAAATCAAAGAAGGTGACTAAACTTTGAAACCATGAACCTGGATTAGGAGATCTGTGACTATTAAGGCTGAACAGTGACTCCTGGACTCTTAATCTGCAGGCAGTGGGCAAGCTGTAAAACCTGCTCAGGCCTCCCATATCCTCCCCAGAGGCAGCCAAGCAGGATAACGGCAAAGGAAGATCTCCAGAGGGTACAGCCCAGGGAACATGAACCGGTGAGTCCTTCCTGGGGAACAAAATTGGGACCTGTTGAAGGAAGTTCCTCACTTCCTGGGTAAAAGACCCCTCTAACATTTGTCTGGAACTTCTCCAGAGTAACAATTTCACTGATTAAAAAAAAAAAAAAGAGCCTAGGATACAGTATCCATTTTTAAGAAATCGTCACCTTCTACACATGGCAGAAGTGTTCAGAGAGACACGTCAGCATGTCAGCTTTCTGCGAGAAAATAACCTATTTCTGTAGCCCTTGGGTCATCTGGGCTGTCTGTCTAGGACATCATAAAGAGTTCTGTACTTTGGGTCTCAGTTTCCTCACTTTTCAGCTGAAGAGATCATATTAGGTGATGACTAAAGACACATTCTAAAAATTTATACTTCTATCTTCTGCCAATGGTGGGCAGTTCTTGAACTTAATCCAGAATTCAGAAAATGATCTTCATTGCATCCCCTAAAAACTAAAAAATAGTACAGGGTCATCTCTCCCTGGGACCACCACCACCACAAGAGGACTTGCACTGATGAGGGAGGCTAACAGCAGGATAGACTCTTACATACTCAGGATGAAGACTTCTAACTGGGGAATTCTATTGGACATTCCTGCTCAAAATACTTGAAAAGATCACAAGATGCATAGAACAAATGGCTAGACACAGAGAACAGGCAAATGAAGAAAAATAACAGTTTCCAGAGCACCATAAGCTATTTCCTCTGTCTAGAACGTCCTTCCCATGCCCTACCCCTACACCTATATCATCCCTGATTATCCTTAAGAATGTAAAGCAGGTATCCATTCTGGGAATCCTTACTTTGGCCTCAAAATTAGCTTAGGTTCCAACAACTCCTGTCCTTTCATTCCATTCATATCTATACATTCAGTGTTTACCTTCCTCATTAAGCTCTAAGCCCTGTAAGGGCAGAGTGTAGTCATCATGCTTATCCTGTGCCTGGTGCAGTACCTGTCACTCAGCAGGTGCCCAACAAATATGTATTTAATAAAGGCTCTTCACTTGCCTTCATATTTCAATGCTGTGCAATAATTATCTCCCCTGCCACACAACCTGTAAATGTGCTGTACGATGGAAGAGAAGAAACCTGGAATAAGAGCAAATGTACCCCACCAGTTTTGCCAAAACCATAATCTGTTAGATAAACTGCTGAGGGGAAAATACCAGTAAAACACTTCAACAGTAATTCCATCCAACACAAAAGATGAAAGTATGCATACTCTGAAAAACTATAAAGCAAATGCTATGGAATAGCTATTTTGTAAGGAATACCTCATAATCAACTTCTATGTTTCTAGAACAGCTGTTAAAGGGTAAAAGATGACATCTGTTAGATTTATACATGTATTGTTGATTTTTTGAAGAATATTTCTAAAAATATATATAAGAAACTGAGAACCATATACACCCACAATGTCTACTGTCACATTAACTTGACTTTACTATTCCACTGTCTTCATCAACACTGTTTTAATATTCCAGAAAACTCTTGCCCAGAAAATAAAAGTTGCATATAATTGTATTGTTTATCTCAGGAACATCCAGAAAAAAACATTTTAGATTGCTCAGCTTTTTAACAGACAGTTATCAAATGGGTATTGTCTAAGACTTTTTAAAATCCTCACCTTACTGTGTCCACAATCCTAAACCATGATCCTTACCCCACTTAATCAAACCCCTACAGGAAAGATGCCCTTAAAGCAGACCCCAAAAACCTCATAAATATCCTGACTTAGCCTTCCCTTCTTAGACACTGCTAAGGCTCCTTCAAGGCAGTGTGCTCCTTTACCACAGTTTGAATAAACCCAGCTTTGCCTGAATAATGGGTGTTTGGGCAGTATTTTCAGGGAGCTAGGATTCAACAAAACTAAGAGTAGTTACTCATGAGGAGGGAACTGAGAGATGTGGAAGGTGCCTTTTTGTACCCTTGAATTTTTCTATTGGTATGTCTATCTATTCCAAGATAAGTGACATATAAATAAATAAAATGTAAACAAACAAACACTTAAAAAGCAGAAGCCATCATTATGTCCTACCCACTCTGGCCAGAAGGGGTCACTTCCCTGCCTCCATGCTTATCGGGGACTGGGGAAAGAAGGAACGGGGATGGGCCTCAGTTATAGAGCAGATGATTTCAGTGGGACTGGAAATTTTAATTCCTGAAAAGAAAGGTTCAGGATCTCTCCTCACAACAATGGCTGCTATTCATTGAATACTTTCTAAATGCCAAATAATACTGTAAAAACAGCTTTCTTAACAGTAAATTTGGTGTACAACTAACTACACACATTTAAAGTATACAATTTGGTGAATATTGACATATACATGCAACCATGAAACTATCACTACAATATAGATAAAGAACATATCTATCACCGCCTCAAAGTCTCACCTGTTATTCATGCCTCCCTCCCTATAGGTAAGTGTTTAAGTACATCACGTGGAAAATGTTATTTCACTCTTGCCACCATTCTTTGACATTTGAGATAAGTATTATTCCTCGTATTCATTAAGGAGGAAACTGAAGTGTAATAGGTTAAATAACTTCCCAGTGTCAGTCTGCTAACAAGTGGTAGAGCTACCATTTAACACAGCATATTTGACACCAGATATACACTAAACCAGAAATTTTCAAACTATAGTATATGTATCTCAGGTGGTCTACAAAGACTTTCCAAACAGTACAAAGGCTTACCTTCCTAGATCTTCAGCTTTGACATGGATTTCTATCTCTTCACTGAGAACAGGCTATATGAGTTGAAGCTTCATGATCATTTCTCTTTTTCTTTTCCTTTTTCACTTTACAAAATATAAACTTTCATTCATGCCATGGTACATTGTTCATGTTCTGGGGTTTAAAAAAAAACTTTCTGAGCTGGGAAAGAAAAAGACAGCAGAGTAGGAAGGCAAGGCAGAAACCTCCTCCCACACACACACACCAGCAACTACAGCAAACACAACTAACCCTAAAAATGACCCAAAGACGGCAAACCAGACCACTTACACCTGGGGAAGAAGAGAAGACCACACAGAGAAGGGTAAAGTGGCAGAGCCATGATGGAGTACGACCCAAGCCCTTACCCATCCCAACCCACAGGCAGGAGAAAGAGGAACAGAGCAAGGGGGACATGTCCAGGAACTCTGCACACCTGAGCTTGGAGATCTGCTCTGGAAACACAAGTCCAAATTGTACTGGGTTCTGGTGATTAGCTGGTCTGGACATCAGGGACAGTTGGAATGCTCTGGGAGGCTGAAACCCCAGCCCTTGTGGAGGACAGGCATGTTCCACCAGTCCCACTGAGACCCAAAGTAGAGGTGGCAGTTTGAAAGATTTGCTAGCAGTGGGAGGGAGGGGTGCCAGAGGGGTAAGGGCTGGACAGAGCCTTTCCGCAGGAGACAGAGCAAGTAGACAATATCTCCCCAGTCCTGCCTTAGCCACAGAAGTTGGGCACTTGCAGGAGCCCCAAACCCTCCGTTCTCTCTCTGCTGCCCTGATGCACTTCCCTGCACATGGCTGGAGTGCCATCCACTTGGCCCAGCAGCATCACACTTTGATCCCTAGTAGGCAGAGGGAGGCTTTCCCAGCTTTCTCAGCCCTGTCTCAGCCCAATTAGAGAGGTCACGTATGCGCCAGCTCTCCTTCCTTCCAGTGGGTGGCCAAGGTGGGTGCCACATGCCCACTCCAGAGCCATGTGACCGCCCTGCAAACCCTGTTAACCCAGCAGCCCTGCCATCACTGCAGGGCAAGCAGAGGGTGTTCCTTCCCACAGTGATCCCAGCAGAAGCCACTGCTCTGCTTAAAAAGGGCCAGCTAAGGCAAACCGCCAGTAGCAGTAGACTGAGATAGATGACTTCTGGCAGACAGACATTAAGGCAGCCCCACCCAGTGCCCACCAAGAGCAGCTGGGGCTCCTCCACAAAGGAGGATCCAGCACTAGTGAGTAAATGGTCTTCAGCCTCTGGGAACCACAGGACACCTTCTTCATAAAGCCATTATTCTCTAGACCAGGAAGCATAGCATATCTATCTAACACAAAGAAAGAAACAGAGAAACTCTGACAAAGTGAGGGAGGCAGAGGAGTATCTTCCAAACAAAACCATAGGATAAGACACCACAAAGAGGGCTAACTAAGATGGAGATCACCAATTTTCTTGACGAAGATTTCAAAGTTGTAGTCATATATAGGCTCAATGATCTGCAGAAAAGTGTTGAAGATCTTGGAGAGAACTTCAAAAAAGACAAGGAGATGGAAATTAGAGAACAGGAACACAATGAAGTTGAAGAACAGAGAGAATAGAGAATCTCTAGGAATGCAAGAATGGTTAGAGAGATGTGTGACAACTCCAATCAAAACAATATTCTCATAATAAGTGTAGCAGAAGGAGAAGAGAGAGGCAAAGGGATAGAACGTCTCTTTGAGGAAATGATTGTTGAAAACTTCCCCAATCTGGGGAAGGAAATAGACATGCAGGTCATGCAAGCACGGAAAGCCCTTAACAAAAAGGAAACAACACCAAGACATATAATAATTAAAATGGCAAAGATTAAGGATCAGGAGAGAGTATTGAAAGCAGCCAGAGAGAGACAAAAGATTACTTATGAGGGGAAAGCCCATCAGGCTGCCAACAGACTTCTGAGCAGAAATTTTAGAGGCTAGAAGGGAGCGGCATGAAATATTTAATGTATGGAAACAGAAGGACCACCTTTAACCAAGAATCCTCTACCCAGCAAGATTATCATTCAAATTCGAAGGAGAGATTAAACATTTCCCAGATAAATGAAGGCTCAAGGAATTTATAACCACACTAGCATTACAGGATATGTTAAAGGGACTTCTGCAGATGGAAATTTTCCTAAGCCTAAATAGTTTTCACCAAAATAAACCCATAGTAAAGGTAGTAGACCAATTACTTACCAAGCAAGTATAAAATTAAAACAAAACAAGAATAGTAAACAAACTATACACATAATCAGTCAAGTGATACACAAA